TTGGTCAGTCCGGAGGTGCTGGATAAAGCGGACGTCGCCGCCTCGCGCTTCCGCTCGGAGGGCAACCCAGATGATGTGGGCTTGAGCAAGGTGGCGGCTGTCTTGGACTCTCCCACCTGGCCTTTGGAGCCCAAAGCGATGAAATCCCCCGGAGGAGGGTGGCCTAAAATGGGGAAATGAAAGAAGATGATTAGGTAAGGTTGTGGGGAGCCCCATGACGCCTCCTTCTGAAAGACCCAGAGAAATCTCCATTGGCTGTAATGTAAGTGACTTGGGCACGGGAGACAAAGCTTTGCCAGTGGGGCTGAGGACCCCCAGGGGGATAAAAAGCCCCTTAAGTGGCTGGTTTGATTGTTGTCGCTAAAGGCATGCAGGTTTGGGGGTGGGGGAGTATAGGGGGGTCTTATTTCTGTAGGCTGCCCGGAGTCACTGTGAGTTGTGGATGTCATATCAATTTTCTTAATAAAAAAATAAATAAGAATACAGGTAGTCCTTGATTTATGACCACAACAGAGTCCAAAGTTTCTGTCGCCGAGCAAGACGTTGGTTGAGCGAGCTTCGCCCCCATTTTACGACTTCTCTTGCCACAGTCGTTAAGTGGATCGTTGCGTTTGTTAAGTTAGTCACACGGTTGTTAAGCGAATCAGGCTTCCCCTTTGACTTGGCTTGTCAGAAGGCCGCCAAAGGGGATCACCTGACCCCCCCCCCCACACCAACAACCGTCAAAAAGAGGAATCAATTGCCAAGCGTCCAAATTTTGATCATGGGACCGTGTTAAAAATGTTCTTAAGTCACTTTTTTTCAGCACCATTTGTTAACTTTGAACGGTCGTTAAATGAAACACTGTAACTCGGGGACTACATGCAGCCATTCTACCATGCAGAAACTGACCAGCCGAGAAAGCCTCCCCTCCTTGCTGTAGTCCTCGACTTACAACAGTTCATTTAGTGACCCCTTCAAAGCTACAACAGCACTAAAAAAAAGTGACTTATGACCATTTTTCTACACTTAACGACCAGGGCAGCCTTCCCCCCCCCCGCAGTCACGTGATCAAAATTCAGACGCTTGGCGACTTGACTCGTATTTACGACGCTCGTCCTGCGATCCCTTCAGCGACCTTCTGACGAGCCAACTCCCAACGGCGAAGCCAGAGTCACTTAATGGCCGCGTGACGAACCTATCCCACGGTGGCGATTCGCTTAACGACGGCGTTCAAGGAAGGTCCTAAAACGGGGGCAAAACTCACTGAACCGAACAGAAATGCGGGGGGGGGCCTCCGTTTGTGGTCGTCTTAAACGTCGAGGACCGCCTGTAACAGGAAAGAAAGGAGGAGAGAAAAGAGAGTGGGGGGATGGGGGGAGGGGAAGAAGAAGAAGAAAAAAAACACCAGCCCTGCGAGGTAGACCAGCCCAAGGAGACAAAATTACTGTTAGGATCAGGTTTATTTATTTATTTTTTTTATTGAAAAGAGAAACGTTCCTCTCTTTGAGGGGAAGGTGGGGGAGGGGTCTTGGAGGCGACCCTCCCCCCCTTTCCAATTTGGAGACCCCCCCCATTTTTTGCCCTTCCCCACGTGCCCCCCCGACACGCTTCTTCTGCGGGGGGGGGACCCCAACCTCCCCCCTTCCTCGCGAGGAGACGCCCCTCCCCCACAGACGGGGAGGGGGAGGGGGGTCCCTTTCACCAGCCCCTCCCCCCCTTTTACCGGAGGGCTTGGCGGCGGCGCTAGGGCGGCGCGCGGCCGCGGGCTTCGCCCTGTTCATCCTGCGGCGGGGGAGGGGGGGTAGTTCTCCCCTCCCCCCACACAAAGAGGGGGATTTGAGAGGGGGGGAGGGGTCGTCCCTGGAAGGGAGGGGGGGAGCTGCCGGTTTCTCCGATTCAAGCAGCGGAGATGGGAAGGAAACCGGAAGTTCCGCTCGTTGGACCGGAAAGCGGCCCCTCTAGGAAGGAGGGTGTTTTTTGTTTGTTTGTTTTTTCGGCTGCCACCGGCGGCCAGGAGGTGGAACTGCAGCCTCTTCGCTTTTAAACGGCGCCGAGTCGGACAAGTAATCTGGTTGCTTGGAAAGGGGACGAGCGCTTGCGCCCCCGCGCGGCCGAAAGGGATAACCGCATTTCTAACCGTAGCAAGAGCGTCTTAGACTTATATCCCGCTTCACAGTGCTTTACAGCTTTCTCTAAGCGGTTTTTAGAGTCAGCCTCTTGCCCCCCCCTTCCCAAACAATCTGGGTCCTCATTTGACCAACCGTGGAAGGAGGGAAGGCTGAGTCAATCTTTGAGCCGGTCAGGATCGAACTGCTTGCGGTGGACAGAGTTAGCCTGCAATACTGCATTCCAACTTCTGGGAAGGAAGGAAGGAAGGAAGGAAGGAAGGAAGGAAGGAAGGAACTAACTAACTAACTAACTAACTAAGAATTACAACCACAATTGAGGCCAAAATTTATGTTGCTAACTGAGAAATTTGTTAAGGATCAAACTCCAAGCAGTAGGCAGAATTAGCCTGCAATTCTGCATTCTAACCTCTGGGAAGGAAGAAGGAAGGAGGGAGGGAGGGAGGGAGGGAGGGAAGGAAGGAAGGAAGGAAGGAAGGAAGGAAGGAAGGAAGTTATACAGGTAGTCCTTGAATTACAACCACAATTGAGCCCAAAATTTATGTTGCTAAGTGAGAAATTTGTTAAGGATCGAACTCCAAGCAGTAGGCAGAATCAGCCTGCAATTCTGCATTCTAACCACTGCGCCACCATAGCTGTTAAAGTTCCTGGATGTTTCTGTTGCAAACGTCAGAATGCGCATTCAATTGATGGAGGGTGTTTCGGAGTCACAGGATTAGAGGAAACGTAGCGCTGGGAACCCTCTGCACCTGGAAAGGAGCCCATCTTCACCTGCCATGACGAGGGGGATAAGTTTGGCATGGGGGAAGGTGAAACAGCCAGACCACAGATCAAGAACACATCACATTGTATTTTATTTCTTTCTTGGTACAGAAACTTGGGGGAAAAGAATCAAGCAGAGTTTAGAAATATATATATATTCCAAAAATAATAATAAAGCAACCACTCCAAAGGGATAAAGCTCATGTTTCTTTTTCCTTAGTCTTCCTAACGCACCACAAAATTGCACAGATGTTGATGTACAGCAGTGTAGGTGAAGCCTGATAACTTTGAAACATGCGGACTTCAACTCCCAGGATTCTAGGAGTTGAGGTCCACATGTCTTCAAATTGTCACATTTAATCAGCACTGCTATACATTATATTTGTTGATTTTTCTGGCTACCCTTGCCATTCTGGGAAAAAAAAGACACAGGACAGCTAAATGAGAAATTGTCCCGGACATCTTTCTGGTGATGGTCCATAAACTCTTTGCTCACACCGAGATTGACTTCACAGAAAATGGGTACTCCAAAAAACAGGCTTAGCTAACCCTATTGTGGTTTTACTGGCGGTAGCCCTACAAAAACTGCTGTGGCTCTTGAGCAGCGCTAGGAATTTTGGACAGGTTGAGCAAGGAAGAAACCCCCCTGCTTTGTAGTTTTATTGTCATTGCACCATAAATTAAATGCCGTCTTAAAGGGAAAACAAAATTCTCCAAACCCCAGCAGTTGGGAAAACTGTGGGCGAGAAAACAGTGCAAACTGGATTTTTCTGAAGTAGAAATCTATGCATTTTAGCACAGGATAGACATTCATTCTGAGGGTGAGTACGGGGCAAGACGAGGTGCCCTTCCTATTTGGGGTGTGTGTGTGTGTTAATGCTGAGAAATACACCCCCACGTTCTCACACTAGCGTGCAAAAAGAGCTAACCCTGCCCCATTGGCAACGGTTCTGCAGCAAACCCTTCCGAATCTCAAAATGTAAAAGCAAAAAGTTGTTCCGTGCAACAGATTACCCTTGGTAAAGTTGCCAGCTTGGTTTAAATAAACGTTATTGGTTAAATAAGCTTCCATGACTTGGCCATCCAATGGTAGAGAGGATCAAGGCTGGCTAATAATAATAAGGGCATTTGGGCTCGGTTCTCCGTGCAAGGTGCTTTCAGAAGTGTTAAGTTACCTGTCAGGAGTGAAGCAGGTTAATTACAGGGTGAAATATCGCCCTTCACCTCTGTTCAGCTCTGACTGGATGGTGGAGGGATGGAGCCAGTCAGAGTTGAAGAAGCTTCTTGGATGAGAAGCGAAACGTCTTCAAAGAAAAACCAGATAAGTCCAGTTTCCCTCTTGAAAAAAAAACATCTTTGGGACAACCATGACTTGGATAACTGAGAATCTCCATAAATCCTAATCTCCATAGACTTCTGTTTCTTCCTTCTTTCTTCCCTCTCTCCTTCCTTCCTTCCTTCCTTCCTTCCTTCCTTCCCTCCCTCCTTCTCTTTCTCACTTCCTTTGTTCCTTCCCCACCATCCAGTCAGAGCTGAAGAAGCTTCTTGGATGAGCTGGAGGACTGAGAAGACATTTTCCTTCCCTTCCCTTCCCCTTCCTTCCTTTCCTCTTTTCCTTCTCCTTTCCTTCTTTTCCCCAAAGTGTTTTTCCCAAGAGGCAAGTTGGACTTTCTGCTTTTTCTTTGAAGACATTTCGCTTCTCGTCCAAGAAGCTTCTTCGGCTCTGACTGGATGGTGGAGGGATGGAGCCAGTCAGAGTTGAAGAAGCTTCTTGGATGAGAAGCGAAACGACTTCAAAGAAAAAACCAGAAAGTCCAATTTGCCTCTTGGAAAAAAAGCATCTTCAGAACAACCATGACCTGGAGGACTGAGAATCTCCATAGACATTTTCCTTTCCTCCTTTCCTTCCCCTTTCCTTTTCTTTCCTTTCCTTTCCTTCTCTTTTCTTCCTGTCCTCTCCCCCCTCCCCTCCCTTCTCCCTTCTTTTCCTTTCCTCCCTTTCTCTTCCTTTCCTTTCCTCCCTTTCTCTTCCTTTCCTCCCTTCCCTTCTTTTCCTTCTTTCCTTTCCTTTCTCTTCCTTTCTTCCCTTCCCTTCTTTTCCTTCCTTTCCTTTCCTTTCCTTCTTTTCTCCTTTCCTTTCCTTCTTCTCCCAAAGTGCTTTTTTCAAGAGGCCATTGGACTTTCTTAATTAAACTGCAGAGAACTGAGAATGTTCGGTGTGCCCACTGCCCAAGTTCACACAACGGTGGAGAGGGAATCTCCGGAAACTCCAGGCTGCTGACCCAAATGCCAGTGAACTCATCAGGAAAACTCAATTCTAGTGTCTTTGACTCGAAGTTCTCCTTTTCCAGGAAAGCTGCAAAGCGCCACTCGCGGAGTGGGACACGTTTGGCAACATGCGACGGAGCGAAACACGGAAGACGATGAGAGGTCTGTGTGCCGGAAAGCATGGAGCAGAAGCTGTAGAAGAGAAAGGCCTTTTCCAAGAAGCAGAAGGAGGCCATTGGCCAAGCAGGAGGGCCTTTTCCCGAGAAGATGCGAGGAGGCCACGGCGCGGCTCAGCTGGGGAGGCACAGCCACAGAGGTACGTGCGGATCCCACGCCGAGGTTCCCCACAGGCTTGTCTCCTCGTGGCAGTAGGTTCGTCATGCAACCGGTGCAGAGGAAATTCTCCTGGTCTCACTCACATCCACCGAACGGAGAAGCCCTGGCTGAGGGGAAGCTGCAGGTTGTTCACGTAGAGAACCTGTGGGGATGAACGCAAAAGATTGCCACGTGAGTGGGTGGCACCATTGTTTTACGGAAGGGGTCTCCAACCTTGGCCACTTTAAGATTAGTGGACTTCAACTCCCAGAATTCCTCAGCCATCAGACTTCAAATTTTGGGCTTAGACAACTTAGAACTATGCCGACTTCGGTCTGACCTAAGCATAGTACATAAAATTATCTGCCACAATGTCCTTCCTGTCAACGACTACTTCAGCTTCAACCACAACAATACACGAACAAATAATAGATACAAACTCAAGGTAAACCACTCCAAACTCGACTGCAGAAAATACGACTTCAGCAACAGAGTGGTCAATGCCTGGAATGCACTACCTGACTCTGTAGTTTCTTCCCCAAGCCCCCAAAACTTTAACCTTAAACTGTCTACTGTTGACCTCACCCCATTCCTAAGAGGTCTGGAAGAGGCGTGCATAAGCGCACCAGTGTTCCTGACCTAATATTCCTTTTTACTCTTACTCTTTTCATGTATTCAAATTATGTTTATATTTTTACCTGTTATCTTATATATGCTTGACAAATAAACTTATGATGATGAAGGTTATCAACTAGTAAACCAACTTGGGTTACTTTTCATGTAGCAAGAACCAAACAGACGGAGCCTTTCTCCCTGCTGGCTGAACGATTCTGGGAGTTGAAGTCACAAGTCCTTAAAGTTGCCAAGTTTGGAGACCCCCCGGCCTGAATAACCAAATGGTTAATTACCTGATTGGCTAAATAAGTGAATGGCCAGTTTTTGCCACTGACGGTGACCGTTTTCGGCTCTTCCCGGACTCCGTAGACACTGAGTTTATCCACTGTGATGTAGGTGGCTTCGGTATTGGAATGCAGGACGGTGGAGATGAAGGTGTTCTGGAAGAAGGAGAAGGAGAAGAAGGAGGGTTCATGTTTCCTAAACAGAGAGACATGATAAACGGCTGCTACAATGACCTTCCCTCACTGCTAATAATTAGAATAATTAGAACTGCAGAAAAAAACCATGGCTACCAACCTGCCTTCCATGGAGGACCTGTATACTGCACGAGTCAAAAAGAGGGCTGTGAAAATATCTACAGACCCCTCGCATCCTGGACATAAACCCTTTCAATTCCTACCCTCAAAATGAGGCCTGTTGATCTCACCCCATTCCTAAGAGGTCTGTAAGGGGAAGGCATAAGCGCACCAACATCCCTACCCTCCCTGTCCTACTGTCCCCATTTCCCATTTATTCATATCCATTTCCTCTCTTCATATTCGTGTTTATACTTATACCTGTTATCTCATACCTGTTTGACAAACTCAATTGGTAGCCTTGGTAGCACAGTGGACTAAAGCACTGTTATTAACATCCGCTGCTTGCAATTACTGCAAGTTCAAATCTCACCAGGCTCAAGGTTGACTCAGCCTTCCATCCTTTCAAAGGTAAGTAAAATGAGGACCCAGATTGTGGGGGCAATAAGTTGAATTTGTATAAAATATACAAAAGTATGAAGGCTATTGCTTAGCGCATTGTAAGCCGCCCTGGTCTCTGGAGAAGGGCGGCATATAAATTAAAGCAAACAAACAAATAAATAAATAAATATAAATAAATAAATAAAAGTCCTACTTGAAAGAGAACCGAGCAGAAGCAGCTCCTTCCTACTCACGGCTCCCAGGTGGGAGCTTCTTACCTGTGTGACATTGAACACCAAGTAGGAATAGTCGCCCTTTTCAAAGGTGTCCAGGCTGTCACCATCGTCCCAGAACAGGTCTCCCCAGGCAGTGGAGGTCTGGGATAAGGCTGCGACCAGGGTCAGAGGGTTCCGGCGTGTTAGCCAAGTGGTGCCTCCGGGTTTCTGAGACACATCAGCAGAGGGAGGGAAGGAGAGGAGAGGATGTCACTTGGGAGAGTCTGAGTAAAAGGTTTTCGTCTATGCAACCCTGTCTTTGCTTTCTGCTTGTAGCCCAGAAGCTGCATTTTCCTGGTAGAGACTGTGATGTGACGAACAAAAGTTTTGCAAACTCAAGACTGATGAAGAAAAAGCTATTCTTCCCTTGGAAGTAGCTTTCCCTTTTATTTTCCAGGTCTGTACTTCAGCTTCCTGAGTTATTTGTCCTCACTGTTAGGAAGGTGCTCCTTTAAATCAAGAAAAGAAACAAATTGGAATTGAGGGGAACCTTCCTAACAGTGAGGACAATTAGCCAGTGGAATAGAAGTTGCCTCCAGAAATTGTGGGTGCTTCATCACTGGAGGTTTTTTAAGAAAGACTGGACGGTCACTCGTCTGAAATAGTATAAGATCTCCTGCTTGAGCAGCGGGCTGGACTATTTGACCTCCAAGGTCCCTTCCAGCTCGAATTCTGATTCTGAAGTTAGAAGGTTGGGGCTGGGGAATTCTGGGAAATGAAGTCCACCATCTTAATGCGGCCAAGGTTGAGAAACAGTGTTCTGAGCTGTTGTGGGAAATATCTCTGGGCTGAAAAGTGATTGTTGTTGACATAACAAATGGCATTAAAACCAGAAATGGGACAGAAATCAGATCTTAAAGAGTCTCTTTTAAACCCAAGCTTTGGGATCCTATGCAAGGGTGGGATTCAGACATTTTAGCAATTCTCTGGCCAGTTGCTGGGTGGCTGTGGATGTGGTGGACGTGAGCTACTCGGCCTCCTGCACCATGGGGGGGGTGGGCATTTTCACCCTCCCCAGGCTCCGGAGGCTTTCCTCGAGCCTCTGGGAGGGCTAAAACAGCCTCCCCTGGGCTCCGGAGGCCCTCTGGTCAGCCGGAAACGGGCCCATTTCCGGACTTCCGGAAGGCCTGTTTTTTGCCCTCCCAGAGCCTCTGCACGCGCCCTGCACTTACCTGCATCCAAAACGGGCTGTGTGGAGACTCCTGGGAGGGTCAGGGTGGGTTGGGCGGGGTCAGCCAGTCCTTGCAACTACCGGTTCAGTGAACCAGATTAAAATTAACATCCGGCTCACCTGAACTGGTCGGAACCAGTTGAATCCCACCCCTGATCCTACGGAGGGAGAGAGGATCAGGTTGCTCGTGCACAAGCTTGCCTAGAGAACCCTGGGCTCGCAGAAGTTTATCCAAAATCGGGGGGGGAGGGCGGCGAAGGGCAAGTAAGAGCATCTTCTGGTCTCACCTGAGTCGGCAGGATGGTGCCCTCTCGCAGATGGACGTTGATGTGATCCAGAGGGGCCGCCATTTTCAAGCTCTCCCCGCTGCTGTTCACCGAAGAACCCTGAAGAGGATGAGGGGAAGGCCTCAGATGGGCATGAAGCTTTTGGAGGATGACGGTCCCCCTCGGAGTCTCAGAAATGGGGTTCTCCTGGACTCCAGAGAGGTGGGAGGACCATGACAGGAACTCAGGGGCCGGGTCCAGGGGTGGGCTCCCGGGGGTTTGTCAGGGTTCGGGCGATCCTCTACCCAAGGATCGCCGGGGTTTGGCAAACCCCCAAATGCCACTCCTGGCTGGCCACGCCCATCCCGCCCCACCCCTCCCAGGAGTCTCCACGCGGCCCATTCATCATTCCAGGTAAGTGCAGGGGCCGCGCGGAGGGTCTGGGAGGGCAAAAAATGGGCCTACCAGAGGCTCCAGAAATCTGGAAAGAGGCCTCCAGACCCCGGGCGAACCAGTTTTTGGCCTCCCAGAGGCTCGAAAAAAGCCTTCGGAGGCTGAAAAATGTCCCCCTCTGCTGTGGTGCAGGTGGCCAACTAGGCCACACCCACCATAGCCACGCCCACCCAGCAACGGGGCAGCGAACCCGTTGCTAAAGGATCTGAAGCCCATCCCTGGCCGGGTCCTTACCGTGTAGTAATCGTACCAAACGCCTTTGGGGAAGTAACCGATCACTGAATCTGCGCCAGGTTCCAGAACGGGCGTCACCAGCAGGACTCGGCCCCAAAGAAACTGCTTCTCTACTGCGTAGGTGGCCTCATCCTTTGGGAACCTACCACAAGAGGAAATCATTGCCATACCTGCCTGTATCCTGTTAAGAAGACCCACAACCATCCATTGAAAAGATCTTTCACTTCGTAAGCCTAGCGTCAAGGTTCCGACGGACAAATCCCAACCTTGATGCAAGCGATCCAATCTCTTCATGCAAAACTTTATTGAGTACATCACATCGGCACGATCGAAGGCAAAACCGGATCTAGATCTTTCCCGCCCTAAGCCCCATAGTTAAAGCTCACATTCTTACACACACACACACCCAATTAGCTCAGGTCAGATTGGCCAATACATTCTCCGGATATTGTTGTGGGAAAGTCTCTCTGGCTTTTGTAAACACCTGCTGAAGTGCCCTTGGCTCTCACACGGACATCTTGATGTCTGGGCCATGTTTTGATCTCCTGCTTCCTCCCTCCCTCCCTCCCCTTTTTGACTTACTCAAAAAACAGGGGGCGGGCGACCGTGTCCCCTTGCAGATGAGCCCGATGGAAGAGAGAATACAGCAGGGGCAACAGGGTGTAACGGAGTTCTAGAGCTGCCTTCATGGCCGTCCGGGCTGCTGGGCTAAAGGCCGTGGGATCTTGAGCCTGTTGAGAGGGGAAGGGAGAGCGTGAGTGATGGCTGTAAGCGATGGCTGTAACGGTGGGCTCTTCCAAAGATAAATTAGTCCTTCGCGCTTTTCACGCGGAAAGGAAAACTTCCTTTGCGTGAAGTCCGGTTCCAATTCTGCCCTTTGATTTACAGAAACAACAGATGGAAAAGCCAAGCCTTCTGTTTTAACGCTGGTCGGGAGGTGAAAGTAGAGATTTGGGGAAAGGAACGTGAGAAGCAGGGAAATGATCCCCCCAACCCCACCCCATGCCTCCCCTCCCTCACCTTCTCAAACTGAGTGTTGTGATTGCGTGAAAAGGGATAGAAGGCTCCCAGCTGCATCCAGCGAATGCAGAGCTCTTCCGAGGTGGAGCTGGAAAAGCCGCAGATGTCGGCCCCGACCAACGGGACTCCGAAGAGACTGAAACTCAGCAGGCCTGGGGATTTAGACAGAGAGGCCAAATGAGGTCAACCTCTGGCCACAGAGGTCACTGGAGTGACCAGGATGAGATCTCCTAACTATGGAAGGATGTCCCAGGTATTTTGGCAAGCCGTGTACCGTATTTTTCGGAGTATAAGACGCACTTTTCCCCCCCAAAAAAGAGGGTGAAAATCTGGGTGCGTCTTATACTCCGAATACAGCCCTGCCCAGGTTCTCAAACGGAAGTTTCAGAGGCTGAAAAAAGCATCAGAAACGAAGCTTCAGGAAAAAAGCCTCCAAACAGAGGTTCAGAGGCTTTTTTTCTGAAGCTGTTTCGGAGGCTTTCAGAGGCAGGAAAAAAAAAGCAAATATATATATATATATATATATATATCAAGGCACAGAGAGCTCACAACCATGGAACCTGTTGCTAAAATTCACCTCTGGGAAGAGCTGATTGGGGGTATTCCGGGAGGCTGATCCACCTGCCAATCAGCTTTTTTCTTATTTTCCTCCCCAAAAACTAAGGTGCGTCTTATAGTCTTGTGTGTCTTATACTCTAAAAAATATGGTATTTATTGTTCAAAATACAAGATAAAGGGCCTTGAACTAGGTTTGGAAATATTCAGAATGCCAGTAGCTCTGATAGGTTATTGCTCTACTGGCAAATTACTTGTAAGTTTCCCATTTACAAATTTCGGCACCCACTTCCAGCCATCCCTGTGGGGCAGCTTCGTATGGACTTTATAAAAGTCCATATGAAGCTGGACTTTATCCATACAGATAATGAGGGACTTAACAGTCGGTGTATGACAGGAGCAGCAGATATTCAAAATTACATCCGGAAGCAGTTGAGGGGTACCTGGAATGGACCAAAACATATCCTTCCATTTGCTCTGGTTGTCTCCCAGCCAGTGTCCGGAATACTTGCCCTGGCTTGGGAAAGTGGAACGTGAAATAATGAAGGGTCTCTTCCCTCGGATTTCAACCAGAGCCCTGCAAGGAAAATAAAAAAAGAAACCTAGTCAAGAATAATGGGTTTATTTGCAAGGCTGATGAATCCTCAGCATGGCAAAGGAAGGAGGGGGAAGGGGGAGAAGGGGAGGACGGAGAGGAAGAAGGAGAGGGAGGAGGGGGAGGAGAAGGAGAAGGAGAAGGAGAAGGAGAAGGAGAAGGAGAAGAAGAAGAAGAGAAGAAGAAGAAGAAGAAGAAGAAGAAGAAGAAGAAGAAGAAGAGAAGAAGAAGAAGAAGGAGGAGAGGAAAGGAGGAGAAGGAAAGAGAAGAAGAAGAAGAGAAGGAAAGAGAAGAGAAGAGAAGAGAAGGAGAAGAGAAGAGAAGAAAGAAAGAGAAGAAAGAGAAGAGAAGGAGAAGGAGAAGGAGAAGGAGAAGAAGAAGAAGAAGAAGAAGAAGAAAGGTAGGGGAACTTGACCTACCTTGAGGTGGCCTTGGCTTCCATCAGCCCATAGAGGTTGTGGAGATTGTAATGCACGGAGAGACTCTGCTTGGCCGAAGCGCAAATAGTCCTTGCCGAAAGAGAACCTCCCAGGATCCCTAATGGAGGCAGAGAAAGGGAGGTGAGGAGAAGAAAGACTGGGCATGGATGTCTTCTCAGCGAGTCGTGTCTGCTCAGGTGTTGCACTTCCAAACCCAGTGGGATGCTAAGGCAGGAGTTCATCCTTGCGCAGATATACAGATCTATCACGGACTTCTCTTTGTGGGGGCAAGCAATGCTCTATGGAAAAGGAGTAAGAACGGAAAAGGAGGTTCTAGAACCAAGATCAGGAACCATGACCTTTCCTAGATGTTGTTGAGCTACAGCTCCCAGCATCCTTCAACAACTGGAACGTGGGTTTTTTTGCAAACTTCAAAAACCCAGATTCCCACCCCAGCTTTACAAGAAGGGCAAGATTTTGGCGCTTCGAAATAGCACTTGGGCTGGTGACTCCCATCTTCTGGAAGCAGTTCTGGAACCTTCCCGAAGGAGCTCCCTCAACTTCTGAAGCCCTAGTTGGTGTGTGGTACGTAATGTCATCTCCAATGAGTTCCTTGCTAGCTTCAGCAGACCTGGAGGTTCATGAAAGGGTTGGTGCCAGTTTTGCTGTTGCAGATTTTAAGTGATGGTGTTTCTTACCAGGCATGTAAGGTGGGTTGTCTAGATCTCCTTTGGAGCACCCTTCCGTTGAGCCATCAATAAAGTTGGATGGTTCATTCATGTCCTAAAGCATAGAAATCTGGATGAAGTTAAGTAGACCCATTCAAAGTCTGGCTGCTGAACTCAATCTACACTGGCCTTCTACAACCAGGAGTAATCTGTCAGGGATATTCTGTAGAGATTCTCAGTCCTCCAGGTCATGGTTGTCCCAAAGGTGCTTTTTTCAGGAGGCAACTGGACTTACTTGTTTTTTCTTTGAAGGTGTTTCGCTTCTCAGCCAAGAAGCTTGATGGATGACTGAGGAATCTCTACAGACTTTTTGCTATACAATTTGGGATGGACACCCTCTGGATGGTGTAGGAGTAGGAATGGATTTCCAGAGGGGAAAAAATCGCAGACAACAGGAACCAGAAGCACCACTCAGGTGACCCTGAAGACACAGATAAACCTCCAAGGGCTTCAAAGAGCCTCTACAAGGATGCCAATGACCAGCTGTCTGCAAGGAGTCTAAATCCTTCCATTCCCCACCATCAGTCAAAGCTGAAGAAGCTCCTTGGATGAGAAGCGAAACGTCTTCAAAAGAAAAAACAAGGAAGTCCAGTTGCCTCCTGAAAAAAATATCAGGGATATTCTAAGCTTAACAATTATCCAGAAAACTGACTTCAAGGTCAAACTTGGGTGGAATTAAAATTCAATTCAATGTCTCACTCTCAAATTGTAGATAGAGAGCCATGTTACACCCCCCCCCCAAAAAAAAACCCCACCCAGGAGTTTGGCAACAGCTTTACTAACAATTTTTTTTTACAATACAACAGTTTTTGTGAGTTACACGGAGCTGTGAATACACAATTGCATCAGCTGAAGTAAGCTGTAAGTCACAAAAGCCAATGCTGTTAATAAAATATATGTTCACCAGCTCAAGAAGACTGATCTCTTTTAATAAAGTGTATTAATCAGAAAATGTGGTGCTAGACACACACAGGCACATACACAAGCCCGATTTCTCTTCCAAATGGGGTTCCTGGCTTGGCACTTGGGAGCCGTTGGCATTATATCTATTTTCTATTTTTACTAACGTCTAATTCAGAGTCACCCACGTCTTGCCACCCAGAAACCAAGAGGAGTTAAGAAGGAGACGTACGAGCCAAAGGCCGTCGAAAGGAACTTGAGCATGGAGATGTTTCAGATTTTCTAGCCACCATTCGTGAGTGGTTGGGTTGGAAAAGTCAGGAAAAGCAGTGAAGCCGGGCCAGACCTGGTGAAAAAATGAAATTTAAAAAAATAATAATACTAGATTCATTTGAAAATAGCTAGGCCAGTAACAATGGCCCATATAGAGTTTATGATAGAAAAACTTGCCCGAGAAAACGCATCCAAAGCTTAGTTATTATTTTGTTTTAGAGCTAGGGCAGAGGTCAGCAACCTGTGGCTCTGGAGCCGCATGTGGCTCTTTCACCCCTCTGCTGCGGCTCCCTGTCACTCAAAATATGCATCACAACCGCCAATGTGCGACACCTGCCAGCACGCGATTTATTGAGCTTTTCAACCCCATTAGGCCAACTGTGGATAAATCCAAGAAAATAAAAGTTTCAGAAGGAAACAGAACGTTTAATTCAACTACGTATGCTAGTTTTGTGGCCGCTCAAGAAATAATCAGGCACGGGAAGGGTTTTGTGGCTCCCGGTGTTTTCTTTTCTGTGGGAAACGGGTCCAAGTGGCTCTTTGAGTGTTTAAAGTTGCAGACCCCTGGGCCAGGGAAAAGATTAAAATAGCACCCATTCATTCATATTTCAGGAAAACACAAGTCTGCATCCCAGGCTAAAGGAATTCTAGCAACCTTGTCCCGTTCTCTGTTTAGGGAACCTCAAGAGCTGAACCACTGAGACTTCTGCCCTAAAGATGCTTCTTATTTGGCTATAATCCTGCTCCTTGACTGACAAGGTGGGTGATGGGCTTTAAAGAGATTCCTGTTCTGACCCAGGCTTCCTGAGAAAGTATACAGCACAATCCCAGCAAACCTCTTTAATTCAGACGGCTGTGAATTATTGTCCTTTCCAGTCCAAAAGGCTTACCAAACAGTCACGCAGGGGAGTGTTCACAAACACCCACCTTATCTCCCTTGGAATGCTGCCAGAGAACTAATTGCCACACGCAGGGCAAGGCCAAACTTAGCACAGAGTCAAACAGGACTTTCCCAAAGTTTTTACCGACCAGATGAACTAATTGCTTCCTGCAAAAGCTCATGTCCCATTCGCTTCTCTTTTATGTCTTATGGGAGGAGCCAATCGTCTCCAAGCCTTACTCCCAAGTCGACCCTGTTTTCTTAATTGTTCCTGTCTTCTGGCAGTTCTGCACACGTGCATACTGGGGACAGGTTCATGCTGCTCTTTTGCCGCACTGCTGTCAGACTCCAGAGGCTGCACATAACTATCAGATGGCCTTGGCCCCCTCTCTGCCTCTGATGCAGAGCCCTTGTCCGAGCTTTCCCCACCCCCCAGGACTGGCCCATGTTCCTCCCCAACCTCCTCACTGTCCGACTCTGCTGCCAGCTCTGCTGGCTGCCAGTGGGCCACAACAATTCCCTTCAAGCAGAGCATCCATGCCAACTGAAGGAGGAAAGCAGACACTCACCATTCCAATCAGAGGTTTCCCTTCGGTGTTGTTGATGAACACGCCACGCTTCAGGCCTTCGTCGTAAGGCCAGTAAGAGCCCGGAGGCTGAACGCTACTGATTCCGGGATCCTGAGAGAAAATAACATGAGAACCAGCTGTTTTATACAACAGTTTTCCCCAGCTGGGCAACTTCCAGATGTGCGGCTAGAATTCTCAGAAATGGCCACAGCAGCTGGTAAAATCTGCACGTTAAAGTCTACACATCTGGAGAACAGACATTTTGAAGGCCAGCATTCCAGGACCGGCTCCAAAGAATCCTTTCTTTCTTTTATTATTATTTTTTAAATATTAAATATAAAAATTCAATGTCTATGTAAACAGTGTGTTCTTTGAGTACAGTTGATTTTTGAGAAATAGTAATAATAATAATAACAATAATAATATTCATAACATCAATAATAATGAGTAAATTGACATTTGAAATTAGAGAACATGAAGACAAGCAATATTATTTGATATGGGATTTGTTTTACCAATGGCTAGATAACAAAGCATGGAGATGAAGTATCAAATATGAAATTAAGGTAATGATAAAATATATGAAGTGTTTTCTTATGAGAGTTAAGCCTTTCTTTGTTAAATAATTGCTAAATGAGAATTAAAATATCAAGGGATATATAAAAACTGTCAAATAAGAGAAACTAAATAATTTGTAATTTTGGATAGGGGATTATGCACAAAAGAATCTTAACCGATTGACACACTTTCTGTGATTGTATTGAATGATGGTGGTTTTATGTTTTGTTTTGTTTTAAATAAAAAAAAATTTCAAAAAAGAAAAGAAAAGAAAGAAGATGTTGGATAACCATTTGTCTGAAGTTTTTTTTTGTTTTTTTTTAATTTGATTTATATGCCGCCCTTCTCCGAAGACTCAGGGTGGCTTACAATGTGCTCAGCAATAGGGTTAAGTGATGTAGGGTTTCCTGCCTAAGCAGGGGGTTGGACTAGAAGACCTCCAAGGTCCCTTCCAACTCTGTTATTCTAAGCTATTTCAACTGCAGTTTGCTAGACTTGCCACTGCTTGTTCTAACCACCTAAAACAGGGGTGGGCGAATGTGTCCCTTTTACAACCTGTGGACTTCAACTCTCAGAATTCCTGAGACAGCCAAGAATTCCCAAGAATTCTGGGAGTTGAAGTCCACAGGTCATAAAGGGGCCATATTTGCCCACCCCTGACCTAAAAAGATTGTTTCTCCACGTGTTTGTATTTATACACAGGACAGAGACATGTTGGCTGGAAAGAGAAATCCATCTTGCATACAAACACACGCTCACACAACCTCCACTGAAGCATTCGCAGAAGAAAGGTTCCTACCAGAATGAGCACGTAGTATTGTCCGTGCTTATGAAGATCTTCCACCATTTGGGGGAGGCTGGCAAATTTCTCAGAGTCCACAGCGAAGTCTCGAGAGCCGTTCATATAATCGATGTCATTCCACTGAACATCCTGCAAGCGGAACACAAGAGAGGATTTAAGGGAAGCCTCTCCAAGCTGGTGGGGAAATCCAAATCTGGTACAGAACAAACCAGTTTGGAGATGTTGTGGTTTGTCAGCCGCCGGTCTCTCCGGCAGCCAAATCAGAGGAGGCGGAGGTGTGGGAGTCAGAGTCAGCATCAAGGCAACCTGAGAGCTCTGAGAAGCAACAGCTGGGTCTAGTGCCTGATGCGCGGATGCACAGAAGGCAGAGGAGAGGAGAGCAGAGGAAATCTATGGGCTGGTCCTCGGGACAGAAGAGCCACCGCTGCTAGCAAAGCCCACCCTAGCTCTAGGGATAAAAGGCAGGGGTTGGAGATGAATAGATGTGGCAGACAGCTATTCATCTCCCTGCCGGACGGACTTGTTAGCCTGCGAGATAAACTTTTTTGCCGAGGCTGCCGGCATTCCTAATTAAAGGAATCTTTTGAGTTCACGTCAGAAGGGTTTGTCGTGTTTGGGGAGCTGGGTCAGAACAGGAGATGGCTCCTCTGAAGGACGCGAAGAACCATTCCGTGGGCCTCGTTTGTTACATGGTAGATTTGAGGCTTCATTGCAAGACAGAGGAGACAATTTTGCGGGGCTACAATTGCCGTCACCCCAAGTAGTAGTAGGGCAGAGCAAGGAGAGGGCAGGCTGGATTCCTCTTCTCTTCCTTTTTTGGTAGGCTCCTGTTGTTTCTTACCTGAGGGATCTGAAAATTCCGCATCGCCTTGACTGTCTCCCACGTCTTGTTGCTGGTCCCGTACCCCCAACGGCAGAGATGGAACCCCAGTCCCCAAAAGGGGGGCATGGCCGGAAACCCTGAAACAGAAGTGGTGGAAATTCGACACATCAGCCTCTCTAGTCGGACCGGATTCTGCTGGGCCTACGTGACTATCTCTTTTGTCATAAATTAATGTCGTTTTCTTTCTGTGTGTGTGTTTGTTTGTTTTTTAAATTTGATTTATATGCCGCCCTTCTCCGGAGACTCAGGGCGGCTTACAATGCGTTAAGCAATAGCCTTCATTCTTTTGTATATTTATACAAAGTCAGCTTATTGCCCCCACAAACTGGGTCCTCATTTAACCTACCTTAGAAAGGATGGAAGGCTTAGTCAACCTTGAGCCTGGGGAGATTCGAACTTACAGTAATTGCAGGCAGCTGGTGTTAATAACCAGCTTAATAACAGGGTGCCTTAGACCACTGTACTACCAAGGCTCTTTTTTCTTTGACGAGGCATGTATTTTTATCGTGGTGGGGCTTCCCCCCGTTTCTCTGTCGTTATTTTAAAAGTGACAAAAGAAGAAATGTCATTTATGAAGGTTCGCTTGGCAGAGAAAAAAAAAAAGCCAACAAAAACAGTGCAGTTGTTCCTGAACGATGATCTCTGAATTGCATTTTGCTTTGGAAGGTTTCTCAGATAAGAACCCAAAACACAAATGAAGTCAAAACTGGAAGGCTCCAAGCATGAGTAAATAAACTTCTCCTTATGGGCACCAGGTACCCCTGGGTAAGTCTCTGGGCCACAGCCTTCCCCAGCTAGGCAACCTACATACTGTATGCTTCAGAGGTGGGTTTCAGCAGGTTTTGACCAGTTCTGGAGAACCGGTAGCGGAAATTGTGAGTAGTTCGGAGAACCGGTAGTAAAAATTCTGACTGGCCCCACCCCCATCTATTCTCTGCCTCACAAGTCCCAGCTGATCGGGAGGGAATGGGGATTTTGCAGTATCCTTCCCCTGGAGTGGGGTGGGAATGGAGATTTTACAATATCCTTCCCCTGAATTGGGGAGGGAATGGTGATTTTACAGTATCCTTCCCCTGGAGAGAGGTGGGAATGGAGATTTTACAGTATCCTTCCCCTGGCATGCCCACCAAGCCACACCCACAGAACTAGTAGTAAAAAAATTTGAAACCCACCATGGTGCTTGCACCCCTCCCTCTGCCCCCCCGCCCCCCCAATCAGCCAAACTTTCTTGGCTCCTGTCGGAAGTTTCCAGCCAGTTCTGAAGAGATGAAAAAGCTTTTCCCACGGTGCTTCTGATTCTTGAGATACTCACCGATCACTTGCTGGTATTGCTGGACCACCAAGTTGGGATCCGGTCCTAAAAAGATGTAAAAATCTAAAATTCCCCCGGTGGTCCTCCATGTTAGGGCAGGAGCAGGCTGAAGGGCTACCTCTGGTTCATGGGGAAAAAAAAGAAAGAAGAAAAGAAGGGAATATCAAATCAAGCCTTTGAGTTAGACAGGCTGGGCTGTGGCACCATGAAGAGGGAAATGCTTACTCACTTCAAAAGCATCAATATATTTTTTTTCTACAACTCTACGCGTTCTCAAAAGGACTTGCTATCCCAGCACTTCTGCTTGGGGGACCACCATTCCCACATGCAAAAGCTGTCCACGTTTTTATGAAGTGCACCAGGGGTGAAATGCTCCCGGTTTGGACCAGATCGCCCGATCCGGTAGCGATGGAGGCAGGTGGTTTGGAGAACCGGTAGCAAAAATCCCTGGCCCCCCTCCCCACCATGCCCAGCTGAGCCGCACGATCCTCAGAGGATGTTCTTTTTTTAACTTTTAAAAGCATTTTTTCTACAACCTCTTCGATCGAAAAAAAATGCTTTTAAAAGTTAAAAAAAGCCTCTGATGATCGTGCGGCTCAGCTTGGATCGTCAGAGGCTTTTAAAAGAAAAAAAACCCCTTTTTTTCTTTTACATGCTTCTGACGATCCAAGCTGAATTGCCTGATCATCAGAGGCATTAGAAAAAAAGCCTCTGCCGATCAGGCAACTCAGCTGGGATTGTCAGAGCCTTTTGAAAGCATTTTTTACAACCTCTTGGTTGTAGAAAAAATGGTTTTAAAAGTAAAAAAAAATTGGCCACGCCCACCCTGTCACATTACCCCCCCTCACCAAGCCACGCCCACAGAACTGGTAGTAATAAATTTTAGATTTCACCACTGAAGTGCACCCTTACGACTTTCAAAACCTTTTCCATTTTCATACATACCAAGAAAAAAAAAATAGCCAGGCAAACAGCCTTCAACTCTATCTACTGTGTCTTTGATTTCTCTTGAAGATGCAAGAATAGAATCGATAACTGAACGGTAAGTTTCAATCAACTCCTGTGCCTTTCAGCTCCATTCTCTTATGAATGACTTTTGGCTTAACTTCAGCATAAATTCGCTAGCAAGCTGTGATTTGGGAGGATTTCTGAAGAAAGAAAGGGCATAGGGAGGGTTGGGGGCTACAGTTGTTCATACTTTTCCACATGAGTTGTGTTTGATGCTCATTTATTTTTGTCTAGCAGTTCTGGGACAGGATGCGGTGGCTCAGTGGCTAAGACACCGAGCTTGTCGTTCGAATGGTCGGCAGTTCAGCGGTTCGAATCCCTCGTGCCGCATAAAGGGGTGAGCTCCTGTTACTTGTCCCAGCTTCTGCCAACCTAGCAGTTCGAAAGCCGGTAAAAAATGCAAGTAGAAAAAATAGGGGCCACCTTTGGTGGGAAGGGAACAGCGTTCTGTGCGCCTTTGGCATTGAGTCATGCCGGCCACATGACCACGGAGACGTCTTCGGACAGTGCTGGCTCTTCGGCTTTGAAACAGAGATGAGCACCGCCCCCTTGAGTCGGGAACGACTAGCACATATGTACAAGGGGAACCTTTATCTTTACCTAGCAGTTCTGGACAAAACAGAACTGATGCAGAGAAAAAAAACCTCAGTCCCCAACAGCCTGTCTTCACAGAAGCCCTGGCCTTCAGAAGCATCCTAGAGGAGGTCAAGACAAAACTCTACTGCTCTCCTTCTTCCTTGCCCTCGGGAACAGACAAAAGTCAAAAAAGTTTGCCCGCTTCGACCTAAATAGAAAGGAAGCCAGTTTTGCCTGCAATCTCAGGTAATTCAGGTCATCGGATCCATCTTTCATTAGCCGAGCTCTGCATGCAAAGGGCCAAGGACAGAAGTTCAGAAGAGGCAGCCGTGAGAGAGAGGCCTGCAGCTGACAAAGGTGCGGTTAAACGCTCAGCAGTTGCTAAAGAGGCCATCCTGAGCCAGGAAACAGATGTCTTGGCTCCAGAAAACGCCTTCATGACCGCATTTTCCCCTCGTTACGTCTCGATCCTGAAGTACCGTCTCAAAGCGTCCTCTGGCAGAATTGTACATCCGTTCAAGTAATTAAAAAGGAAGAGGAATGGGAGCCTTTGACTTACAATCACCCAATTAGGGAATGTCTGAATTTACAATGGTGCTGAAAAGGGTGACTCACAACTAATCCTTGCATGTTGTAGCACCTGCACAATGGTGCAAAATCGGGCATGGCTCATTTAACAACTAACTTGCTTGGGAATGGATAATCTGGCCTCGATTGGGGTCATAAGTCGAGGAACAACTGTAGGTTTTCTTTTCCCAAGGAGATGAAGTTGACTTTGACTTGGCTTCTCAGACTAGACGTTAGAAAGCAGCGGTCCTACGGATGCTCACGAACGGAGTAAATAGCAATAGCCGTAGCCCTTAAGACTTATATACCGCTTCACAGGGTTTTTTACAGACCTCTCTGAGCAGTTTGCAGAGTCAGCATATTGTCCCCCAACAATCTGGGTCCTCATTTTACCGACCTTGGAAGGAGGGAAGGCTGAGATGGTCAGGATCAAACTTCTGGCAGTGGGCAGAATTTGCCTGCAGTGCTGCATTCTAACCACTGCGCCACCATGGCCCTCCCTCCCTCCTTCCTTCCTTTCCTACTTAGCAATAGCACTTAGACTTATATACCGCTTCATAGTCCTTTTACAGACCTCTCTAAGCGGTTTACAGAGTCAGCAAATTGCCCCCAACAATCTGGGTCCTCATTTGACCCACCTCGGAAAGACGGAAGGCTGAGTCAACCTTCAGCCTGTGGGACTTGAACTGTACATGAAAATAAAGGAATGGCCCAAAATAGGCTCTCACAGTAGCTACCTTTGTTCACCCAAGATATTTGGGTTCCGTATTAAACACCTCCAGAAGGGAATAAAGGAAACACACACACACCCATCAAGTTGCTATTCAGGAGGAAAACCCCGTGGGCAGCTCCGCCTTTCTCCATGAGAAGATAGAACGGGTGGACGCCGTAGAGATTGTAGGACTCCTGAAAACAATAATAGAGAGGAAAAAACTTGTATCTGTTTTTTTTCTTTCCACAGCCAATCATCGGGGTGATTTGAAACTGAGACAGAGACACAGAAGAACAGAGGGGAACTCTCTTGCATCCAGCCCAGCCCCTTGTGTTTCACAGCTGTGGACCGGAGGCCTCCAGGAAGGCTACTGGCCAAACATGGAGGAAGCCCAGTTTCTTACTGCAGTTTCATTATGTACAGAGACATGATAGTTTGAACCGAACAAGTATACAATCACTGTTACAAGACATCATAAGTCGTTACCACCCAGAGTGTCCATTCTGGCACATGGATATCCAGAAAAGGAGCAGAGGGGGGATTCAGCCGGTTCGGGCCGATTTGAGCGAACCGATAGTTAAATTGCTGGCTGGCCCCTCCCCTCCTCGCCCCTTCCAGGAGTCCCCACACACGCCATTTTGGCTCCCAGGTAAGTGCAAGGAGGCCTCGTAGGCCCAAAATGGGGCGCAGGGGGACGGCACGTGTCCCCCCCGCCCCCACGGCCCATTTTTGTTCCCAGGTGGTTGCAGGAAGCCAAGTGCTGCCTGTCACACCCCCTGGCTACGCCCACCATGGCCACGCCCACCCAACCAGTCATTAGGGCAGAGAACCTGTTGTTAAATTATTTGAATCCCACCACTGGAGGGGACCAAGAAAAAAAAATGTAACCCCACTGAAAATAAATCAGTTCAACTCAAAACCGACTCGTAAACCCAACATAAAAACCTACCATAGGAGGGACGTCTCGGGCCCAGAGAGGCAGCGTGTTCCACTCCAGGTTATGTAGGAAGTTGCTCTGATGTTCCCCCAACCCGTAAAGAAACGTAGAAGGCAGAACGGTGGAAATCTGGAGAAACTGATCCGCGAAAAACAAGGGAGCCACTGTTGTGTTCAACCTACGAGAGGAAACATCCCGATTAATAGACTTAGACTTATATACCGCTTCACAGTGCTTTCCAGCCCTCTCTAAGCGATTTACAGAGTCAGCCTTTGGTCCCCAACAATCTGGGTCCTCATTTTACCGACCTCGGAAGGACGGAAAGCTGAGTCAGCCTTGAGCCAGAGATATTTGAACTGCCAAACTGCAGCTAGCAGTCAGCTGAAGTAGCCTGCAATACTGCACTCTAACCACTGCGCCACCTCGGCTCTTGGGAAAGATAACATATTTTCTTTTCTTGTTTTATAAATTTTTGTGACTTAAGAAGAGCATTTTAGGGTGACAGCAAAGAAATATTGGAAATCAACAGCAGCAACGGATCATTCAGCTAGCAACTGGATCCCTAATTGTTCACGACCGAAGTGGCCGATGAGCCCAGGAAAATACATCAGTAAATGTGAAGGCTTGTGAACTGAAAAGAATTTCCTCAATTTGAGTTAGTATGAAGCCCCGAAATTCTGCCAAGCATCTTGGTCCAGGCTGAGAAACAACGAACGGATGCTACATATCCTACGGTGACATATCCTAAAGACCACTAATGTGAGATGAAGCAGAGGGGACCCCCAGGGAAAGCTTCCTGTCTTTTCTTTAAAAAAACCTTTAAATGTTGAGCAGGAGGCATTCGGATCATCTATGGTCCCTGACTAGCTGTCCTTCATGAGGGCATTGAAAGAGCCTGGGTGGTGCAGCAGACTAAAGCACTGTTAAGTAACACCAGCTGCCTGCAATTACTGCGAGTTCAAATCTCACCAGGCTCAAGGTTGACTCAGCCTTCCATCCTTCCGAGGTAGGTAAAATGAGGACCCGGTTTGTGGGGGCAATAAGCTGACTTTGTATAAAATAGAACACCGCTTGGGAGGGGGGCGAAAGCCCTACTAAGCAGGTATATACAAAAGCATGAAGGCTATTGCTTAACGCATTGTAAGCTGTCTTGAGTCTCTGGAAAAGGGGCGGCATATAAATCGAACCAACAAATAAATAAATAAATAAATAAATAAATAAATAAATAAATAAATAAATAAATAAATAAATAAAGCGAAACGACTGGAGGGCAATGCAGGAAACGCAGCCATGTGGCAATCATGATATCTGGATTCCTCTTTTTTTTAAAAAAAAAAATATGCTGATTTCAGAGTACGGAGCTGTTGCGCAACCTCTTGGCTCTTACTGATCGGATGGGGGAGGGGGGGGCAATCAGGCAACATCATTTTTCTGGCGAGACAGCAGGAGAAAACCACCAACCTAGAAGAGACAAAAATGCTTACAGAACTGTCCCTGAGAGTCTTCGCTTCACGATCAGGCCAAAAGGCTCCTTGCAGAACTCAACGGAATAGAGAGGGTTCTCGGCCCTCTTGGTAGCTTGGGGAACGTCAAGAGGCACCTCGTACCGGGGATCGGTGGCATCGGTGATCTGCACAGAGCAAGAGAAGCACAAACACGCATCGCATGGAAACAAAGACTACATCGCTGTTCTGTCCTAGGCTTCCCTAAAAAGCACGAAGCAGAGTCTTGGTCTTGGCAAACCCCGTTTTTATTTGCACGACTGTGAATTCCTTTCATTCACAGTCAGCAAGGCTGGCAAACAGTCTTTCAGAGGAATACTTATCAACACAGACCTTATCTCGCTTGGAAAGCTGCCATGTCAGTAGTTTCCAAACACAGGGCAAGGCCAAACTTGGCACAGAGTCTCTGGGATTCATGGACAGATCTTCCCCACTAAAGCCCCCTCCCCGTTCGCTCCTCTTTTGTTTTCTACGGGAGGGGCCAATCACTTCCAAGGTGTGGCTTTACTCCCAAGTTGACCCTGCTTTCTGAGTTGTTCTTGTCTTCTGGCAGCTCTGCACATGCGCACACTGGGAAAGGGCTCCAGCTGTTCCTCTGCCTCACTGCTGTCTAGCTCCCTCTCTGCCTCCAACGCAGAGCCCTCGTCGGAGCTTTCCCCAGCCCCCAGGACTGGCCCAAGTTCCTCCCCAACCTCCTCACTGTCCAACTCTGCTGCCAGCGGGCCACAACAATCTGAAGGGGCAGCAAGAACATTTAACAGATGCCTCACCTTGACGTGCAACCGAGAATCTGTTTCAAACTCCACCCTGAGCTGCAGCTTCTCAAGATCTTTCGGATAATAAGTCTTTGTTTCTCTGGTTAGAAAACCCACCAGCCCCAGGTCGGTCTCATTCGTGCTCCCCAAGGTGTAGCTGGGGAAATCAGGGGGATAAAAGCACCAGGGAACCCCGTTGATTCTATCGAGGGGCATCTCGCCGTCCGCAAAACAGCACCCCCGGCTCTCACAAAGTTCTCGCGTTACAACCACATTTTTCTCTGGGTAACAGTCAAAACGACGGTTCTCTGGCACGGAGGTGCATTTGGACCAGTAGGAAATCCCGTGCTGATCCCACCAAATCTGGCCGAGAACCCAAACGGTCACCCCACTCAGGAGGGCGGCTACCGTCAAGAGGCCCCCACCTAGCCACCAAGCTGACAACTTCTGATGGCACAATGGTTTTCCATCGGCACCTTCCTCCTCCGCCTCGCTGATCCGAGAGACATCCGTGCTCAGCTTCTGATAGGACTTCATGGTGGCCGCTGCAGAAGGAAAATAAAAGAAATGTGACTTTATCCGTGGTTCTCGGGAATAGAATAGAATAGAATAGAATAGAATAGAATAGAATAGAATAGAATAGAATAGAATAGAATAGAATAGAATAGAATAGAACAGAATTCTTTATTGGCCAAGTGTGATTGGACACAAGGAATTTATCTTGGTGCATACGCTCTCAGTGTACATAAAAGAAAAGATACATTCTTCAAGAATCATAAAGTACAACACAATGATAGTCAAAGGGTACAAATAAGCAATCAAATCATACTAGGAAACAATATCAATATCAATATAAATCATAAGGATACAAGCAACAAAGTTTCGGCCGTGCAGTTATAAGTGGGAGGAGATGGGTGATAGGAAGAATGAGATTAATAGTAGTGCAGATTTAGTAAATAGTTTGACAGTGTTGAGGGAATTATTTGTTTAGCAGAGTGATGGCGTTCGGGGAAAAAAACTGTCCTTGTGTCGAGTTGTTCTGGTGTGCAGCCTTGTTTTGAGGGTAGGAGTTGAAACAGTTTATGTCCAGGATGCGAGGGGTCTGTAAATATTTCCACAGCCCTCTTTTTGACTCGTGCAGTATGCAGGTCCTCCATGGAAGGCAGGTTGGTAGCTATTGTTTTTTCTGCAGTTCTAATTATCCTCCGAAGTCTGTGTCTGTCTTGTTGGGTTGCAGAACCAAACCAGACAGTTATGTAGGTGCAGATGACAGACTCAATGACAGGGAGTGAGAACAAGCAAAGTTATTTACACTGCAGGGATCTCCAGATCACATTCCTGCAAGGTAGGGCGATAATGGCACCCTCTGAAGTTGATCTGAAAGGGGCTCCAACTGAGTGAACTCAACTGATTGAAGCGACGGAGAAGATCCCATCATGGCTTCAATGCCTCAACTGCCTACTAGTTTGGCTCCAAACCCCAAGATTAGAACATGAAAACGTTTTAATTCAGGAGCCTGGAGGCTTTGAAGCACTCTTTGGCCACAGAGTCACCAAGGGCCTTATATCTGAGATCATTGTCAGTGTTTTCTGCTCTCTGACCAGCCCCGCTTTTACTTGACTCCTGCTAGCCATGTTGCTCGTGAGGAGGGATCATAGAAATCCCAACTCTCCAGCGATATGCAGTCACTGGATCAGGCTGCGCCGTGGGTGGACACAACCACAATGCACAATCTTGGAGCGTCTAAGAAGCCTTTAGGGTCACGATGGTTAAGAAATCAAGGAAGAGGAGAGAACCCTGGGAGAGAGCGGGTGCAGAAAGGAAAGTTTATTCAAGCCACAAACAAACCTTTTTAAGGGTTTCTGACACTGGACAAGTCCCCCCTTCAGGGCTTACTAAGTTACCTGGGTGAGGTCAAGAGGAAGGCCAGGCCAGAACTAAAAAAAAAAAAAAAGAAGCAAAACAAATCATACCTGTGTGTGTGTGTGTCTCTTCTTGATAGAGCAACAGTGGGAAGGGGAAGGGGAAGAGAGCCGCCCAGCGAGCATTACTTGCAAAACACAACAGTAAACCTTCTACAATAAGCGCCTGCTTAAAAGGAATTTTTTGCCCTCCAACAGAGCATGGCCATCATTCTTAAACTCTGGGGTTCTTGTTCTTGTTTTTAAACAACATTCTACTCCAACCCCTTCCTTCCTTCTGTACCTGGCCTTACCCAGCACGGGCCGATTAATCTTGAGGGTATTTTTTTTTCTCAAGATTGGCAGAGGTCCCCTTCATTTCACATGTAGGAAAGGAGCCGAGAGATCCCACATGAAAAAGGTATATATAAAGGACATTCGCAACTGGCCCTGGGGATTTCGGGGTCTGTTATTTTAGAAGGTCAGAAATATAAGGGAAGCTTGAGGTTCGAAATCTTTGGCCACCGGTTTTTGTTTTCTTTGTATGTGGTGTATTTTATTTCCCTACATTTTAATACTGCAACAGTTCAGGCATAGGTAGTAGAGCTTAAATTATATATATATATATATATAATGATGATGAGACTTTGTCGAACCGTCGCCAAGACACTTCCATTATATTATATATATATATTGGAAGTGTCTTGGCGACGTTTCGACAAAGTCTCATTCATCATCTTCAGGCTGGTGTTCTCGGCTTCGTGCTTCCAGGAGCAAGGTCCATGTCTTAAAATTGCCTTGCTCCTGGAAGCACGAAGCCGAGAACACCAGCCTGAAGATGATGAATGAGACTTCGTCGAAACGTCGCCAAGACACTTCCAATTTTACATGGGAGAAGACCCGAATAACCACCGAATAAACACCCGCAAAAACAATTAAAATCTGCAAGAATCTTCAGATAGGCTGGGCAAAACTCCCTGGGGAGGGTGGAATTTAGGGCTCCAGGCAACATAGGCATCCAAGCAAGAGAAAAAATCCCCCTCCCTTTTTTTATTTTTTAAACCAGGGAGACCCTCCCCAGTTCATTCATGCCTTTCGACCACGCATTCCCGCGCTTTCTCTTTCCCCCCAAGAATGAAATGCTGTGGGCGTGGCCAGGGGCGTGGCTAAAAGAGAACGACGCGCGATGAAGGAGGCGTGGCTTTCCTCTCTCTCTCTCTCTACCTCGGACGTGAGGAAGCTCCCACCCCGAAACCAGACGGAGAGCTCCGATTGGTTGGAAGCGCTCAAAATCAAAAGTCTGGGCGGGAAAAAAAAAAAGGAAGAACTGAGGGGGTGGAGGAGGAGGGGTTTCGCGCGCGCGTGTGTGATTGGTTCTTTTCTTCCCCCTCCCTCTTTTTTTTTTTTTTTTTCCTCCTGTTGTGGTTCCTCCGCTCATTCGCCGCACGCGCGCCAGGGAGGAGGCGGGGAGGCGAGGCTGCTGCCCAAAAGGGAGGGGGGGGAAAAGGAGGAGGAGGAGGCGGCGCGCGCAGTTCCCCCCCTCATTGCCCCACCCCCACCCCGCTGACTCGCCCGTTGGCGGGGCTTTCCCGCCTCCGTCGCCTCAGAAGCCCCGCCGGGCAACGGCTGGTCGCCGGCTGAGGGCCCGAGCGCTCCAGGTGAGGCGACGGCGGGAACGGGGGAGAGGGAAAGCCGGAGAGGAGAGAGGAAACTGGGCGTGGTGGGATGGGGGAGTGTGAGGGAAGGAAGGAAAGCGAACACTCTCCGCTGAGGGGAAGCGAAGCGGCCTGGGCGGCGCCGCCTCCTCCTCTTTGGACGCGCGCGCTTGCGCAGACACGCGAGGGCGGGGCCTAAAGGTGGGTGGAGCGGAGGGGGCGGGGTTTTCTTGCCCCGCACGTGGCGGAGGCGAAGTCGAATTTGCTAGTCTTATTTCCGCATCACTTTTTCTCCCCACCCCCCATGGAATCGAATTAAACCTATTTTGGAAGCGGCTTCCCGGGGGGGGGGGGAGAAGCAAAAGATGAGCCTCCTTTTTGATGTCAATCCTCTGCGGGGCATCTGGGCACTTCGTGGAGACCTGGGGGGGGGGGTGGACGGAGCCCCCCCTTCCCAGCCACCTGGTCAGCCCCCGCTGGGAAAGCGGAGCCCCGAGCCTAACCGGGCTTGGAGGGTCCGACCTGCTGGAGGAAGGGTGGTGGGAATACGGCTCTTGCGTGCAGAAGCAGGCGGGGGGGGAGGGGGGCTTGTGTCGTTTGCGGGTGTGTATAGATGTAGAGCCTTGGTGGTGCAGCGGACTAAGTGCTGTTAAGTAGCACTTAGCTGCCTGCAATTACTGCGAGTTCAAATCTCACCAGGCTCAAGGTTTGACTCAGCCTTCCCATCCTTCCGAGGTAGATAAATTGAGGACCCGGATTGTGGGGAGGGCAATAAGCTGACTTTGTAGAAACACTGCTTAGGGGGGGCGGGCAAAAGCCCTAATAAACAGGTATATACAAAAGAATGAAGGCTATTGCTATAAGTGCATTGTAAGCTGCCCTGAGTCTTCGGAGGAGGGCGGCATTATAAATTGAACTAATAATAATACGTGGGGAGCCGTGTGAGGGGGACTTTGGGGGCGTCACGGGTGGGTGGGGGGAGCAGCTTTTCCGGCGAAGTGGGGGAGGGGTGTTGTGTGAACGGGGCTCCTGCGGGTCAGGGTCCCTCCTTGGAAAGGAAGTTTCTTTGGACAAGGAGGGGCGAGGAAACTGCTCTTTTCTTTAATGCAGGGGTCTTTATACTTGGCAACTTTTAAGAGTTGTGGGCTTCAACTCCTGGTTGAAGACCCCTGCTTTAATAACTTTCCAAAGGCTCCCCCCCGCCCCTTCCCAAAGGACCAGGCCAGCCCTGCACCTTACCGAGCATTAGAGGCACTTCCCTCCCCCCCCTTCGGTATCTACCTGGCATCTAGAGGGTATTTCTTCATTTATATATAAATATATGCAACCCTGCTTTGTCTCGGGGCATTGTACATGCAGGAAAATGCATCCTTAAGCACCTAATGATTAACTACAGGTAGTCCTCGACTTACAACCGCTCATTTAGTGACATTCAAAGTAACGGCGTCACTGAAAAAAGTGACTGATGACCGTTTTCACACTTGTGACCTTGGCGGCATCCCCATGGTCATGTGATTTGCATTTGGCTGCTTGACTCACATTTAGGACGGTGGCCGTGTCCCGGGGTCATGTGATCACCTTTTGCGACCTTCTGACAAGCACAGCCAATGGGGAAGCCAGGTTCACTTCATAACCGGGTTAACTAATTTACCGACTGCAGTGATTCCCGTAGGAAATGTGACAAGGATGGTGGTTAAATGGGGCAAAACCCGCTTAACAAATTTTTCGCTTAGCAACATAAATTCTGGAGTCCATTGTGGTCGTAAGTCGAGGACTACCTGTACTGCTGTAACCCTGTTCTTTTAGCCAACAGGTGTTTTTAGGGAAGGCTATAAATTCCCCAAAAGGGAAATGGTGGTTCAGTGGCTAAGACACTGAGCTTGTCAGTCAAAAGGTCGGCAGTTCAGCAATTTGAATCCCTAGTGACATATAACAGGGTGAGCTCCCGTTCCTTGTCCCAGCTTCTGCCAACCTAGCAGTTCGAAAGCCCGTAAAAAATGCAAGTAGAAAAATAGGGACCACCTTTGGTGGGAAGGGAACAGCGTTCCGTGCGCCTTTGGCGTTGAGTCATGCCGGCCACATGACCACGGAGACGTCTTCGGACAGCGCTGGCTCTTCGGCTTTGAAACAGAGATGAGCACCGGCCCCTAGAGTCAGGAACAACTACCACATATGTGCGAGGGGAACCTTTACCTTTAACTTTACCTTATAAACTCTTCTCTTGTTCTAAGCCAGGACATTGATTGAATAAGCCACCAATTCATGAGATAAAAACGTTTCCTATATCTCGGTGACCCGACTTACCAGCCCACCAAGCCATAATCAAGGCACAAGGAAATGCAGCCGGCTTGCAAATTTGGTTGATCTGAGAGAAGGATTTCCCCTCCAGTAAAAGCATGGCAGCCAGATCTGAGTTTTTCTTGTACCAGTCTGTGTTTATCTACAGTGATATACACTAATACTACTTTGTGTCAGGATACTACCTGCATCCATAAACAAACACTTAACTGTCACTCCTTTTGTAGCACATGAATCTAGACTGCTGGTATTATTTTCCAGAGCAAGCCTAGGCCTGCATATAAGAGCCATAAACTTAATTTATGCTTTTTTGCCCTTATCTGTTGCTACTGGAATTTCCCTCTCCTCGGGACAAAATCAGTTAAAACCTGGGAAGCCCCTGGCTTCAAACCTCACCTCCGTCCTGCAAAAATAACACACAATAAAACCACCTTAAAGAACTGCCTTAATATGAAGAGGGGGGGGGAATAACCACCTTCCCACAAAGAAGGGCTCTGGGTGGCTGGGGTTGCAATGGGATTTTTCAACCTTTCCATTTGTGTGGACAGATAGTCCTTATAAGATAGCGGCTTACGACCATAATTGAGACTAAAATTTCTGCTGTTAAGTGCGTTTTGCTCCATTTTACGACCTTTCTTGCCACTGTTGTTAAGTGAATCCGGCTTCCCCGTTGACCTTGCTTGTCAGGAGGTCACAAAAGGGGACATTGCAACCATCATAAATAGGAACCTGTTGCCAAGCACCTGAATTTTGATGGCATGATCATGGGAATGCTGCAAAGCTCATAGCCTAAGTCACTTTTTTCGGTGCTGTTGTAACTTTGAACGATTATTAAATGGACCGTTGTAAGTCGAGGGCTACCTGTACTGGCTCCCAGAATATCACCATTCCTGAGGCTTCTGGGAAGTTGGTCCCCCCTCCCAATCTGTAAGGGAAGGGGGCTAGATTGCATAAGGCTGTGATGGTTGCAACACTGCAAAGGCTTTGTTGACCAGTGGCCGCCTGGGCTAAGAAAGGTCTTACGTCTCCAGATAGATGTAGATAGATCTATTCTAGAAGTTGTAAAATTGGTGGTTTTCTAGTGCGTAATTGGCTGGCAAGATTTGAACGATTAGGAATTGATTTGGAAAGTTTGAGGGGTTGCCCTCAGAAGGGAATTTTACACATGTTGAATGAATCAGCAGAGCATCATATTCGTGGTAGGAGACGCTTCTGAGTCATTGTATTTTTACTTTTCGTTTGGCACATACATGCACGCTTCTGTCTCTATTCCATCCAACTGCTTCAAGAAGCCATTCAGTGCATTCTACCTCCATGCTCCCTACCAACATGCATCGGCAGGCATCGGGCATTCGGAGAAGACATGCAGCAGGTATGGGGTTGTGGGGGTGGGGGGGCAGTTGCTTGAACTGGATGCTGCAGCGGAGTGGCCGGTTGCAAAAATAGCAGGGCCTTTCCTATTCTCCAAAGGAATTCGTCACTCTCGATATTAGAAACTGGAGGTACTTTCACGAAAAACAGCTCAACTCTGAATTCTAACGGAGGAACCGATGCTTAATTCTCGGCTTCCGTGTGGCCACCTATGAGGCTATCCAAGTTCTCACAAGGTCTTGATTTCATGGTTAACGATGAAAGATGCTTCTCCAAACTGGGAGATGGGCTCGCTGGTTAGACTGGGCTAGAGGTGGGCATCTTAGTGGCCCCCACAAGAGACCCGTCAATGCCTAGTTTGCTCAGAGAGAAACTTGCCTGCTTCTTTGATGTTTTTGCTCAAACCAAGTTACTTACTCGTAACCTCCTTACAGGCCGATTAACCCAAAGGCCTCCCCTTCTACTTTCTCCAGACTGAATGGAAATAAAGTATAGGAAGTCCTCAACATACGATCGCAGTCGAGGCCAAAATCGACGTTGCTAAACGAGACATCCGTTAAGTGAGCTTTGCCCCCATATTACGACTTTTCTCGCCACGGTTGTCAAGTGAATCATTGCAGTTCAGTTAGTATCCCGGCTGTCAATCTGGCTTCGCATTGAAGACCCTCAGCAATTGGGAGGGGGTTGCTCTCCATAAGGAATTGAGACCGTGTGTGTGTGTGTGTCTGCAGCATAATTTGGGGGGGGGGAGCTAAACCCACATGGTGCATAAAAAACACAATGCCATGAATTCTGAGAGATCAGGCGCCCTGAGAGGGAGGAATTCCCCAGCTTGTGAGATGAATCGCTTCCAAAGATGAAATCATTTCAGTTCTGATGTCTTTTCCTTCTCCCTCCTCCTCCTCCTCTCTCTCTCTCCTTTCAAAGCTAAGAAAGGGGCCCAGTAGAGACTGTTTGAATATATAATTAGCCCAAACTTCTCTATGGCAAGGACAAGCAGTAGATACCAGAGAGGAAAACTGTGTTTTTGCTGCCTTATCAAAATAAAGGGGGGGGGGCTCAGAAGAAGATAGAAACACAACTATCGAGCATTTCACAACCTCTCGGGGTGGGAAGTTTGGAACAGCTTCCTTTTTTCTTTTACGTGAAAAAAGAAAATTTTAAGGTCCTCTGCAGTCCAGTTCAAACGACTGACCCCAGCCAGCCTGCTGGGATGTAATATTGAATTCATTTACCTTTCTGCCTCGGCACTGATGAAAGCTGCAGCTTGCTTGTTTTGTTCCCTGTGTTTTCTCAACGCCCGAGAAATCTTCCTCCTTGCAGTCACTTCCTAAACATGATGGACCGGATGTTACCCAGCGGCAGCTGGCGGTATCAGCAGGGCTTTGCGCAAATTATAATTAACCCTGTTTTGTACTTTGGAGAGAGCCTGAGCAGAGAAAAGCGGTGCTCTGCTTGGAACAGAAACAACAACAACAACAATAATAATAATACCACCAGTCAATGGTATTTGCGATGCATTTTTGAATGTTCAGTTGACTTGAGTTTCATGTTTAATGAATAAAGTATATAATAATAATACCATTGACTGGTTCTAATGGTTGATAAGGGTTGCTGCCAGCGTCCGAGGTATCAACCAAGTATCTTCTTAAAATATACGATGTTCCGAGTAGCGCAATTTTTTGCAGTTCCGCTGGTGTTATTGCAGGAAGCTGCAATTTCGTGATGTGTTTTGTAAAATTCTTGGACATGGTACCAAGTGCCCCGATGACAATGGGTACATTTTTAAATGTTCAGTTGACTGAGTTTCATGTTTAATGAATAAAATAATAATAATAACAACTACAACAATAATAATAATATAATCTTTATTCAAGAATTTTTTAAAACACTTCAAGAAATTGCAGCTTCGTGCAATAACACCAGCGGAACTGCAAAAAACTGTGCTACTTGGAAGATCGTATATTTTAAGAAGATACTTGGTTGATACCTAGGACGCTGGCAGCAACCCGTATCCAACCATCAGCACCAGTCAGTGTGATACATTTGTAAATGTTCAGTTGAGTTTCATGTTTAATGAATAAAAGATAATAATAATAATAATAATAATAATAATAATAATAATAATAATAATACACTTGCCTTTACCATAGATGGAAGCTTTGGAAAAAAGATGTTTTGGGAAGGCTACTTGGGGGCAGGGCAAGGTGGATTTTGGTACAGGTTCTTGCTCATCCTTTCCCAGCTCAATGTGTTTCATACTCATTTGGGACTACAGTTTCCATTGGCCCCTGCTGGGAGCGAGAGTTGGTTCAAGTTAGTTTTTTACATGCGAAAGATCCAGGAAAGCTCATTTAAAGCAGGAATGCCGGAAAGGTCTCCAATGCATAAAACGTGCTTTAGGTTTTCATCCTTTTGCAATCTCGGTCGAGGATTGAGAGAGAAGAAATAGCCCTTCGCTCCTGACACAAGAGGTTATGAGAGATAGCGTTAATGGGAGCCTGCGTTACTAATGACACATTAGCCAGCAGGATTTCATTTGGATATTTGTAGGATCTGCAGCTTGTTTCCCCTTTGGCAAAGGGAGCTTCGAAACACCTCTGCTGGTGGTGCGCCTTGTGTGGCTAATACATCACCTGTGAATCCAGGTAGTCAGGTTAATTGCCTAAACGACGGTTGTGCAGTAGCCTTCCCCGATCTCCGTTTGCCTGAAGCACAGCCGTTCCTCCTTCCTTCCTTCACTGCTTCGCCGTCCTTGTTATCCAAAGCAGCTGCAGCATCAGCATAGCTTTTCCCCACGGAAGGCTCTCCGATCATTGTCCAGAAATCGCAAGAGAGAGAACTGCGCCTTGGCAAAAGTCCCTTTCAGTCTGGTGGTCCCTGACCCTCCCTCTGGTGGGTTTCTTCCCCTGCTGGCTCTCATCACAGGGAGGACAGAGGCTGTCCGGATGAGTCCACTTTCACCCTCTGTGACTCGCCTGCTGTTCGAATTTCCCCGCTCCTGTTTATGCATATACAGGTAGTCCTTGGCTTGTAGTCCAAAACCTCTGTGGCATGCTTAAAATCAGATGGAAACAGGTCAAAGCAATTTAAAGAAAAGGTCAGAAACAAGAACACTATAACAGGGGTCTCCAACCTTGGCAACTTGAAGGCTTCAAGTTGCCAAGGTTGGAGACCCCTGCACTATAGAATACTATAGAAATATTTGTTAAGTGGAATAGAAATAAATAATACAAAGGAGAGCTATTGCTTTGTGGTGTCCCGAAGGCAATCACATTCTTTCAGACTGGCCTTATTGAATGCCACCTGTAGATATTTCTATTTCGGGGCAAAATTTTGAGTAGATTTTGCTAGCAGGTAGGAGAGCAAAAAAGCATCCATAAAGCTCAGTGTGTTAAAATTGCAACAGGTGGGACCCAAAGGCAGGAGACCATTGTCTGAAGACCCTAGAAATGTGAACAAATGGGGTGGGGTCAGGAAGCACCGGAACTCAATCTGCATTGGTGGCACTTTTCTCCCGGACACCGAGTGTATTTACACACCATCTTTTTCCATTGGTTGGGTGGTTACGTTGCGGGGAGAGCCAGGCCTTTGAAGATTTCCCTGGTCAAAAGATCAGGAGGATTTTTGTTTTGTTTTGTTTTAATGCTTGGGGATGGGATAGGGCCCGAATTTTGCTTCGTTTTCTCCCCCCCCCCCCCCCCCCCGTTTAACTTATTTATTTTTCAACGTGTTTTTGAAGTTCCCTTTTCTGGCACAACCGCCAAGTCCGGTGGAGGAGGAGGGTGGAGGAGCGTCTTGCCTTTTGCCTTCTAGGGGTTGGGGAGGGGGGAGGGCCGGGGCGGGCAGGCCGACCAGGGGGAGGAGAAGGAAGTGTTGCTGGCTCTCTGGGAATGCGAGCTGTTCCCCCACTCTGTAAACAGCTGGTGACTCATTGCATAGCTATGGCACTGGAGCGATGCGTATGCTAAGCCATGCTGCGTGTGTGCGCCTACCCCAGGATAGGGAAGAACGGTGTCCACCCGCCTGGCTCTCGGAAAGGATTCCCGGAGAGACCCCCGCCCGTCCACCCCCCTGCCCTGCACCCTGGCCTCGGCTGCCTGCAGGTGCCTCCTTCCCCCCACCCCCACCCCCCGAGGAGGGGTCCCAAACTTGAGCGGGCTCCTGGGACGCCCGGCAATCGCCTCCAAACATGAGGGCAGGAGAGGACAGCTGTAAAGGAATGAACAAGAGTCTGGGAAAAGCTTTGCAAGTCCAAGGTAATCCTTCTCTTGCTGCCCACCCCCCACTCCTCCTCCTCTTCCTCCTCCTCTGCCTTGCTTCATCGTCTTTCCCCCTTACGTGGCTGCCTTGCAACTTTCGCACCTGGAGCCCCTGGCCCCAGGGCCCTCGGCTCCTTTGCAGGAAGCCAAGCATGGCGTGGCCACCTTTGCCCCCCCCCCTTCGCCCTCCCCATGCTCCCAGGCTGTGCTTGCCCTGAATGACACCCTGCCGTGGTCCTTCCACGTGTGAAGTTCAGGCTGTTTGCATTCTAGGAAGCGCTGAGCAGCTCCAGGGAGCCGTGGGCATCCTGACGGTTTTCGGTGAACCAAAAAAAAAAAAAAACCCCCCACACCTCTCTTGTCCTGCTTTGCCTTCCTTCTCTCTCTTTGCACAGGGTTTCTGCTGCATTCTCACTTCGCTCTGCCTGCCTGCTCCAAACCTTGGTTAAGAAGCTGGGGGGGCTGGGTGGGGGGGGAAGCTTCTGCTAGTTCTGTTTCTGTGCAGTTAAGCTTTGAAAGTGAAACAAGCCACGATGGTAGAACGCTGCCCTGAGATCCTTTGGCTTGGTTTGGTGTGTGGGGAATGTGTGGGGACAAGGTTTCCTTTGCTTAGTAAGCAGAAAGGAGGCAGGTTCTCCCTTCTCGGATGGCTGTATTGTTTCTCTGTTTCTTTTTTTAAAAAAAATGGGGGGGGGGCGTTGCAGAGGCGTGGTGGGGCCGCTCTGAGGGGCCGAGGAGGAAGGGCTGGACGAGGGGATGTTAGAAAACTTGCCCCTCCACCTCCCAAGGCAAGAGCCACAGACCCTCCCCCCCCCCCCCCCCCCCCCCCCTGCCCCCCCCCCCCCCACCTCTTTCTCCCCCCCATGCATCCTGAAAGGCATGGATTTGTTGTCTCTCTCTGTCTCTCCCCCCCCTCCCCAATGCCTTTGCACAGAGATGACCCCAAGTCATGATTTGCTTTTGGGCTTCTCTTGTTTCCATGGTTACCATCTCAGGGTTGGCTACTTTCCCAAGGTCACCATAGCAACTATCGGAAGGAAATCATGCTTGGGATGCTTTGGCTAGATGTCGTCTTCTCCTTTTTTTTTTAATTTTTTTTTTGTTTTATTTTATTTTTGGTAATGATTAGAACGCGTGACATTCCGTAGACGTGCATGGAGAACCAGGGTTTCCATTGCCACCAGCCCAGCCTTGTTTGCTTCTTGGACGGGTGGGTGGCGGCCCGGGGAGGGAAGACCCTCCTGTCCGATGGTCTCCCATGTCTGGCACTGCAGCCTCCCCGAGTCTGTGCTTCCTAGGCACGTCAGCTTTTCATGTTCGAGCCTGGCTGGTGTGGCCTAAGCTGGCGGGGAGAAGGAAGCCACTGTGATGTCACAGCTGCATTGCCCTCTCCATCGGTGAGGGCTCTCTGAAGCTGCTCCAAGGGTGTCATCCTTCTCTTCCTCCTCCTCCTCCTCCTCCTCCGTGCGGTGTGATGCAGGTGAAGGCTCTGCGCTGAAGTCTAGACAGTCGGTCTCGGAAGTAGTTGAGAGTACCTGAGGCAAGAGTGAAGGGCAGCCGGAGAGCGCGGAGGGGCATTGCTGCTGGGTCACTTCTCCCCTTGCTGGAAGACCAGAGGGGGCTCCTTCCTTCAGCCAGTGGGCTGAGACGATGCCAGCCCAGTAAGGAAAGGGGTGCCTTGTTTTCTCTGCTCATGAGAACCTCCCCCCCCTCCGCTTCATCCTCGCCTTCTCATCTGTCGATTTGTGCTGCCTTGCAAAGAACGGGTCGCTCAGCAGCTTAACAGGTGGGCCTGGGAAGAGGTAGGGGACTTTTCGGTCTTTGAGGAGCCAGGAAGAGAATGATGTTGGTGGGTTGTTTGTTTTTGTGTTTTTTTTAACGATGGCATGGGATGAGGGTGAAGTTGGGGTTGGGTTTTGGAGGTGGCATTCTCCTGCTTTGGAGAAAAAAAGCACAGAAAGCAAACTTGGGGCTAGCTTTATAGAGGTTTGGAAAAAAAGGGAAATTGGCTTTTTGGAGGAGCCGCTCCGAACGAACCGAATCCCTGGATGAACTGAATTCTTCTGGATCCAGGAATTCCATCTCTTAAAACTCCAGGTCCGGGCGAGGGATCAAGATTCAAACGGCCATCTGTTTTCAAAGCCAGGATGAGGAAACAGCCTTTCTGGGTGGCTGGTGGTTAAAATGTGCCGTTACGCTGGGAAGTCATCTGAGGACTCCAGGTTCAACAGTGTGGAAAGTCTAGCCTAGCTTGCGGTGTGAAAGTCAGGAAAGACTGGCCGAATAATTCTGGAGGATATGGGGAAAGCTTGGCAGAAATCTCATTAAACTCCTGCTGCCATCATTCCTCCTCTCTCTTTTCATTACGGCACCCCAGATGGGAGATAAGGGGAAGAAGCGATATTCTCATAGAAGCTGCTTTTAAAAGAAAGAAACGCCGTCATTATTATGAGTTGGTTGATGAAGTCTCTTGCTTGTTTGTCTTTTGTAATACAACAGTTCGTTTAGTGACCACTCAAAGTCACAATGTCGCTGAAAAAAGTGACTTGTGACTGTTTTTCCCACATAGCGACCACTGCAGCATCCCCATGGTCACGTGATCACAATTCAGACCCTTGGCAAATGACTCATATTTATGACGGTCGCAGTGTCACGTGATCCCCTTTTGCGACCTCCTGACAAAGTCGACGGGGAAGCCAGATTCGCTTAGCAAACCGGGTGACTAACTTAACAACTACAACTTAACGATGGTGGCAAGAGAAGTCGTAGCATGGGGCACAACTCAGCAACCTAAATTTTGGGCTCCATTCTGGTCGTAAGTTGAGGACTACCGGTAGTCCTAATGGATGAGAATGTTCCTATGGAAGTCCAGGATCCTGAGACATTGGTGGTGGATTGAGTGGCTGGGGAGGTAAAGTTTAGAAGGCAGATTTTTTTAAAACAGCAACCTCTAATAAACCTTGTGTGAAATAGCACTGCCAGGACAGATGCCTGTCTCCGTTTGAACGAAAACGCATCATTCTTTTCTCTTGAGCTGATCCTTAGCCTGTTTTTTTTCTCCTCCTTTTCCCTCTTTTTTCTCCAGTTGCAATTTCTGAGCAATTCTGTCCAGGTGACTGTGTCCAGGTTATGACGACTAATCCAAAACCAAACAAAGCATTTAAGGTAAGGCTCAGATGGATATATATATATATAAATTAAAGTGGCATCTTCAGTGAACTGTTCAAGATGCCAACTCTTGGGTCCTCGCTGCCCTTGTCTATCCCTTTTCCAAAAGTCAGTCTGTGCCTCAAAAGTAAAATATGAGGGTGTCTATCTTGAAGATGAAAAGCTTTATTTGGCCACCAGAAACCTCCTTCACTTTTAACAAAATCAAGATGTCTCTAACTCTGGCTTGGTTATACAAATACTCTAAACACAAATTCCTCATCAGAGAGTTGGGGTACTGTAATGTTACGTGGGAATTACCTTGGGGATCCAGGAGGGGGAAAAAGAGATGCTACCTAAGAAAACAATTGGATAAGAGAGCGCAGAGCCCAGAGCTGCATAACGTGCGGGGAAAGAGACTCAGAAAAGAATCTCCCTAACTTTTCAGGCTGAAAAACAGATGGCGGGAGATTCGTACTTTCTTACTTTCAAGATTCTGTTAACGTAGCCTTCTAATAAATTAAAATTAGCTCATGGGGTCATGTTTCCTGTCTGGTCTACAGAGGGTTGACAGTTGGCTACTTGTGCTAATTACAGAAGCAAGTCAGTTACGGAATAACATTAACTTCTTCAAAGTCATAATAACTGTAACGTTGAGTAATATCTTTATAAGTGAGGAGGAAGAGCCTTGGTGGCGCAGCTGTTAAAGTAGCACCAGCTGCCTACAATTACTGCGAGTTCAAATCTCACCAGGCTCAAGGTTGACTCAGCCTTCCATCCTTCCGAGGTAGGTAAAATGAGGACCCGGATTGTGGGGGCAAATAAACTGACTTTGTATAAAAAAGAACACTGCTAAGGGGGCCGAAAGCCCTACTAAGCAGGTATATACAAAAGTATGAAGGCTATTGCTTAACGCATTGTAAGCCGTCCTGAGTCTCCGGAGAAGGGCGGCATATAAATCGAACCAATAAATAAATAAATAAATAAATATTCCGAATGGAGGCTAAGAGGAAAATTGCAGGCACAAAACAGCAGTTTTAAGTCAAAGACGGATTACTACATCTCACGGACATAAAAATGTTAAGTTCGGGTTTTGTTTCCTTTGGATTCCAACTCAGAATTCCCAAAATAGCAGAATTCGTTCCTACAGGTTGGTCTTGACAGTGAGCACCTTGAACAGCTGAACACCTTGGAGTTTTTGGAGATTCTTTGGGGCTGCCCACACGAAATGCTTCCTAGTAGATGATCTGGTGGTCACGAAGGGGCAACCATGATCGGTAGAGCAGGGGCCTCCAACCTTGGCCACTTGAAGACTTATGGACTTCAAGTCCCAGAATTCCTCAGCCAACGCATGCTCTGACCTAGTGTGACATAATCACGAGTTTTGTCCTGTTGGTGTTCTTAGGTCAAGGAGGAGTCAGGAGAAAACGCCCCGGTGCTGAGTGACGATGAACTCGTGTCGATGTCTGTGCGGGAGTTGAACCAGCACCTGCGAGGTCTCACCAAAGAGGAGGTGATTCGCTTGAAGCAACGGCGGCGGACACTCAAGAACCGGGGCTACGCGGCCAGCTGCCGGATCAAGCGGGTGACCCAGAAGGAGGAACTGGAAAGGCAGCGGGTGGAGCTGCAGCAGGAGGTGGAGAAGCTGGCTCGGGAGAACAGCAGCATGAAATTGGAGCTGGACGCCTTGCGCTCCAAGTACGAAGCCCTGCAGACCTTTGCCCGCACCGTGGCCCGCGGCCCCATCACCCCCACCAAAGTAGCCACCACCAGCGTGATCACCATCGTGAAGTCCACCGAAATCTCCTCCAGCTCCGTGCCGTTTTCGGCAGCATCGTAATGTCCAAGGAGGAGAGAGAACTGCCTGCCTGGCTAGAAGAGAGGACTTTGCAGAGCCCGCTTTCTCTCTCGAATCAGACGTCCGTCTTTTCCCCCCCAAAAAGGAGCCAGCCAGCCACGTAGCGGCAGACTCTTCGAAGGGAAATTGAACCCGGCTGCTTTTACCTCGTTCAGTAAGCCCTTCGGGGCTGAAACTGAAATTCCGTATCTAGCCCTGCAGAAATCCGAAGGAGGCGCCTTGCACAGCTCTTCCTTGTGGTCTCCTTTTTAAGTCCCAATCGACACGAGGTATCGAAGGATATGTGTGCTAAATGAAAATTTCAAGCGGATAACATGGTAGAATCATCGAGCCATAGGGAAAAAAATATCTCTCTTCCTCTAGTTAGGAAAAAGAAAGGGAAAAAGCAGCCCCTCCATAGCTACGGGTGATCACGATTTTGGAACAGTTACTGCATCCACATTTTCATAGCCCCAGGTTTTTTCTCTCCACATTCAGAAAGCCCTGGTGAGGGAATGTTCACCTCGCCGTCCGGTCCCTGGTGCTGCTCCGTCCCCGCTGGAGGTCCTTTTGGTCAGGGGTCCAGCAAAACGGAACAGCATCTACAATGCAAAGATGTCACTGAAGCTGCTTCCCATGATGTGCCTGTGAATTGGGTCTCCTTTTTGATGTGTTGGTGTGGCTTCCAAACAATACATTTTGGTCTGTGTCATCATGCAGGTTCTACCGTATCGTAGGTGGGGGGAGGAAATGGGAAGCATACGGAGAGCAGGCAGTGTGGGGCTGGACTTGGTGGCTAGGTTGTGAGAGAGAAAAAAAGATAATTTGCCAGAAGAGGAACTTATGGGAAAGGATAGCTCTATAAAATGATGCCTTTGAATCAGCATGACTTAGAAACATGAAAGGTTTGTAAATCAAAGACATGCCGGGGAAAAAAAGTGGGGGGGATTTTTTTTGGACAAGGAAGATTCAAAAAGAAATATGAATTCAAGCCACAGCCTTATCCGTAATATTTCTGCTGCCGCTGCTCTCTTGTTTTGGTGCTCTGTAACATCAAGAGATGTCAAAAGTGAACACGCAGTAAAAAGCAGAAAGAATTAGGTCTAAACACCTACAGGGAATTGGGCTCCTCAAGATAACGCTCGGCAAGCTCAAAGATAACGAATTTCAGAGAGGAACACGGGAAGGTTTAAAAGTTGGTACTTTGGGGGAAGGGGGTGTTTTGGAGACAAGTTAAATTGGGACGTGGTTCTGAGAAATAGGGAGAAAATCAGAGCTCGTCACCAGGGCGAGAAGGAGGGACGTAGGCTGCTGTTTGTCTGTATGTGCAAAGAATGAGAAGTGCAGGTGTACTGAGTTTGCTCAGACGTGAGAAGGTTGTCCGTATGGAGAGCAGAGAAGAGAGAAAGCGGGTTTTGGATTTACGGAGAAGGCAGAGGAATGAAGGATGGTTAGAGTTGGGTCGCCAGTGAGGGCTGACAAAGAGAAGGGAAAGAAGGCTTGGAACTTGGAGTTGCGAGGCGAGTAAGTTGCCCTTTCAAAGTCCCTTTATGTGTCGTTTCTAGAGCAAAGGGGTTTCGAACTTGCAATCTGAGAACCGAAGCCTCAGATAAAGGTCCCTTCAGATGGGTCGGTAATAAAATTGCTGCCCCCTTCTGCTTAGCTGAAGCCAACCCACCAGAGATAAAATTCCAATTTTCTATCGGAAGCCGGGGATGCAACATTTACATGGTGGCACCGTCCAGTTGTTCTGCCTCACCCACATCATGTGGCGATCCAGGGCTGATTCCTGTTGCCCAGGCGCCCTTACATGTTTGCATCCTCCGTCTTGTCAAACGCGTCCCCTCTATTGGGGTTGGATTTGAATTGGAGTCTTTGCTTCCCCAAATGCTAGCTTTTGTGGTGTCTTCTTGGGGTGTCTTAAAACTCCCACTTACGTTCCCTTGCAGCTAATACCGGTAGATTGTGACCTCTCTTCTGTGGGTGCATTCGTAATTGAAAGCAAATAAGGAAGAGTACGAAGGCCCTTAACCTCGGTGTAGGTGTTGGGGGTAACTGCATCCTGAGTGGAGTTACTAACACTGTGAATATAGCACTAGTGGTAGTTGGGTGCATGATCTTGTGTCACACCGTCAGCATATGCCAACCTCTTGGCACTTAATGCTCTTCTGTGCCATTCAGTAGTTTCGTGGTGAGGAGGGGGCTAATTTTGACTGCCAGATCAGGAAGAACGAGCAAAGCTAATGGCTGTGTGTCCACTTCGTTGGCTTCAGATTAACTCACATGTGAGGGTCTCCGTAGCCCTCTTGAAGACCAGTTTACATCTGGTGTTTATCCCTGCTACTTTAGACTCCCTCACAAAAAGTTTGAGGAAGAAAACGAATTGAGTTGCTTTATGTTGTTTTTCTCTGAAAATGTCCTTTGGAACACCCTGGGTTCTCTGCAAGCTTCCTGAATCCTTAAAAGCAGAGGAAGGGGTTAGATTGCACTGTCTGAGTTTCAGAAAATAAATGCCAGTGGCCCAAGTGGGCATAAGAATGTCGGAAATGTCGAATCCTCTCCTCTCCTCTCCCCTCCGCGGCCAGCTGGAAGCTGAGCTCTGGAAAACGAGGGCCGAGTTAACTGGGCTCCACAAAGATGGAATGAATGTTTAGAGGTGCCTTCCCCAACCTGATGTCCCCCCAAATACATCTCACTACAGCTCTCCTTGGCCCTTCTTCAACAAGGGCCACGATGTTCCTAGCTCCTGGTTGAAAGCTGCTACATCTGAGGAAGACATGGAGTATTGATGAAGGAAATTGCCCCGCCCATCTTAAATTATAACGATGCTCTTTCTGGATTGGCTGTGTGTCGATTGCCCTGCACCTCTTGACTCTAGCTTTGTTCCACCCGTTGCTACGCCGAGTTGGGGTTTCCCCTTCTCTCTGGTGTTGGATGGGCAACCCTTGGTCAGCTCCAGAAGAGGTCCTCCATTTTTTGTGTGATGCTTCCTTGTGACTGAGAAGGTTTCCCCTAGCTTGCCCATAGTTTTAGGAGATGGACAAGCAATAATGGACCTAGAAAGAATTCGATGGGAGGTGTTCTGGCAACTGTAGACCCACTGAAATTCTTGAGTGTATCCAAGGGAGCTCCAACCAGAGCGCCAGTTAACACCATCATGGTGGCCTTGAGTTGGTAAAAGCTACACGTGGGCTTATCCCCAGGGCAGAGGTCTTCAAACTTGGCAACTTTAAGACTTGTGGACTTCAACTCCCAGAATTCTCCAGCCAGAGAATTCTGGGAATTGAAGTCCACAAGTCGTAAAGCTGCCAAGTTTGAAGACCTCTGCCCTAGAGAGTTCCACCAGATTTTTTTTTTTCTACTGTGGTTAGGACCCCTCACACATTGACCAACCTCTCTGCACTTTCTTCCTAGCAGCTGCGGACTCCTCGGCCGCCCCTGTCATGTGGGTGGCGCGTTGGAAGGGGAAGCCAATGGCTGATCATGGGACGATGAGGCCATTGCACAGGACGAGATGATAGTTGGACTTAACCGTCTGGTAGGGGAAAACACCTCTAAAGCAAGGAGTCCTCTGGACCTCCAAGTGTAGCCATCTTTGCTGCTTTTTTTGGAGAACGGAGAGTCGCTTCTGTGGGGTAAAAGCATCTCCCCCTCCTCCCCCCCCCCCTTGGGTTGGTGTCCATTTCCCTTGTAATCAGGCGTCGGAAGGCTTAAATCAGAATTAAAAGCTGTTGATACCATAGACATGGTAGGTAATCCATATTGGATATCAATTTAAGGGCCACTTGGAAATGTTTGAGAGACATATGCATATAGATACAGATATATGTGTGTGTGAGTGTGCGTGTATATATGGTTATATATACATACATACATATATATATAAATATATATAAAATAATTATATACATTTTACCATACAGGTTCTTTTTGTAAGAGATACGTGTAATATTGTTGGTTATCTTATTTAAATCTATCTATCTACCAGTTTCCAAAAAAAAAAAAAAAAAGGGACAGGAGGGACTTAAGAATTGGTGCTTGTTTTCTGTGCAGACGTCTCCAACCATGGCCACTTTTAAGACTTGTGGGCTTCTGGGAGTTGAAGTCATAAACTGGCCCAGGTTGGAGATGCTTGCGTTGATGGATGCTCGGAGCCTGGAAGTGTTTTTCTCTCCACAATTCCCCTTCCAGAAGGATGGAAGGACCGGAAAGGGAGTAGAACGCCCCGTCCATCACCCCAAGAAAGCCCAGAGAGCAGATAATCTCCTTTCTTTCACCCTCCTCCTTTTTTTTTTCCCCCTGTCTTTAGGGACTCCTCTCACCACAAAGCTTTGGGAAGAAACACAACTCCGTGTTGTGTGCAAAACCACTGCCTCCTGTTAAAAATGCACATTTTTCTGTTTTGTTTTTTTTTAATGCCATTTTCGTTCAGCTGCCACTTCTCCCTTTCCTGCTTCTTAAATCCCTGGGAAGTTTTTTAGGGTGGGTTTTTTTTTGCGGGATCCCAATACTGTGGCTTCAAATTAGCGTTTTTCAAAGTTCACCGTTTTAAGATGGGAAGGGGACTTCACCTCCCAGAATCTCCCAGTCAGCCATGCTATGCTGGGGAATTCTGGGAGTTGAAATCCACCCATCTTAAAGCGGCCGAATTTGAAAAACACTGATTTAAACGATGCTAATGTGGGGATAAAGGAAAGCTTCCTGGCGTACCATAAACTAGCATATTAGATGCAAACAATGTTTGGCACTTCTCTTAGATGCTAGGGTTTCTTTTTTTATTTATAAGCAGAGATTTAATTTTTCTTTTTTTTAAAAAAAAAAAAATCTCTCTCCCATGGATGATACAACTGAAAATTCTTCTGTTGGTTCAGCCTCTTGTCTCACAAGACACGTGATTATCCTTGGATAATTGAAAGCTGATTAACCTGGTTTACACATTAGCCTGGAAGGATGCATTTGGATACCAAAAATGCACAGCACACGAGTGATTTAACTCTCCCTGACGGAGGGAATTCTTTCCTTGTTTTTATTCCGATTGTATTTTTTTGTTTTAAGTTGCAAGCTGTCCAGAGTTGATTTGGAATTGCCTCTGTCAAATCAAATAAGGGATTGCATCTTAATAGTGTATGTAAAAACCAAAGCACTCGCCTATATAAAAATCAGAGGAATTTAATTTTTTTTTAAAGAAAAGTTTTCTTGTAAAATGGCTTTCTTTTCTCTACCACCCCTCTTTTTTTCTTTTCTTTTCTTTTTTTTTTTTTTTTTTTTTTTTTGCGTTACTACATGCTTTGGAAATTTAGCATGTTTTTGTTGCTGTTGACTGATCCTAGTATTTCTCTCCTTGCATCATAAAATTATACTTTTAAAAAAAATCACATATATGGCTGCAGATCTGGACTGCCAAAAAAAAAAAAAGCCCTCAGATGGCCGAAAAGAGTTTTATTTATCTCTTTTTTCCCCCTCTCCTCTGGATTTTTGCAGCTCAGATCCAAAAGCTTTAATCACGAGACAGTTCTACTCTGTGGTTTCTGCAAACTTAATTTTGTTTCAGTATTTATTTTTGTGTTGCTTTTTTATTATGAAATAAATTATTGACATATCAAGTAATGTGGGGTGCCTGTCCCATGAGGCCTATGATGTCCGTCCGTCCGTCCGTCCGTGTGTTTGTCCAATCTATTTTCATTTGATACCCTCTTCCCCCCCCTCCCCCCAATGTTAATTTATTGCTGTAAATTTGGAGCTGCAACCGTTGTGGCTTTTTGGTAACCTCTCCAATAAAGCATCTTCTGGTTTCAGATTGGATCTTGTCTGATCAGAGTCTTTGATAGTCAGGGGTCATATAAATTCAATTTATTATTAGTAGTATTTCAAAGCTTGATCTAGTACGGGGGTTTCCAAACTTGGCAACTTTTAAGACTTGTGGACTTCAGCTCCCAGAATTCCTCAGCCAGTATAGCCCACAAAGTTGCTAGGTTTGGAGACCCTTGATCTAGTACAGTGTTTCTTTTTTCTAACTTGGCAGATTTTAAGAGGAGCGGACTCCCAATTCCCAGCATTCCCCAGCCAGCATGCTTTCTGATGAGTGGACTTCATGGTAGCAAGGGAATTCTGGGAGTTGAAGTCCACACCTTCTTAAGGTGGCCCAGATCTAGCAGTAGTTTGCACCCTCTCTGGAGGGTGACATAGAGGGAGCATTTTAATACAATTTTGCAGGCAGCAATAAGTGTCACATCACTGTATCTGCCATTTAAAAAGTATCATAGGGTGATTATCAAACTGGTCAACGTCCAGGCAACCATTTGCAGAAGGGAAGTAAAAATTTTGCTGTCTGTCTGAAAATGAAAGGCAGCCACAAATTCTGAGTTGTGCAAAACAGATCTCAAGATTGCAGAAGACGAGAGAAACATGACAGTCCTTGCATCAGGAAGGCTGAATTACAAATAGGAGCTGCATAGACCAAAGTTTTTCACTGCTTTTTAGCATTTGACAAGCCATAAAATCCTCTACCTTATTATATCAACGATGTGCTACTTTCTTTCTTTTCAGTTATGAACAATAGCACCAATGATGAACCACGGGCCATCCCAGATTCAACCCAAACGGCCACTGAATTGGTGCGTTCTCTGACTGCCGCCAAAACTCTTGGAATACTCTCAAAAGTAAATTTGTCAGCGTTAGACAGCACTGGGAAAAAGTATTACAAATGTTTTTTATAATTTAAATTTTTTTGAAATGTACAGATTGACACGCGATTCATAGCCATCCCAAAGGACCCTCCAGAAAGGAAGAAGTACATTATATCGACACATTCACACTTTCAACGTAATGCAATGCCTCTTCTTCCAAGATGAAGTCACAACTCCTCTGGCATTCAAGGTGAGTTCTAGGATCAGATCACCTTTGACAGCCTCGGTGCAATTTCATAAAGGAACCTGACGTTATAATTCCTCACCCTGCTGCAGCACCTCTTGTTGGAAAGAAGAAAAGTGCTTTTATTTCTCTGGGGCTCTGAGCTATTGATTCCCATCCCAGTGGATTGGATCCAAAAAAAAAAAAGATAATGGGAATCCGGTTTCAATGAGATTGAGCTGCAATTGCTGAGTGAAAATGTTGATTTCATCCAATTTCATCCATTCCTACATTGCCTTGTTCCTTCTCTGCCAATAATCAGTATTATCTCCATGCATTGGGAATGGGAGGAGCTGCGTCCATTGAGAAATTTTGTTTTTCTCAGGCTTTACCCAGGACCAACAATAAGTGCATCAGAAACTCCTGGATGTTTTTGCCACCCACCACAACAAATAAGAAGGGCAGATCTGGCTGTATTTAGGAAGTCAACCCTACATCTGGGGGGTTCTTCCCTCAATAGCCCACCGAGAACAAGAATGAGACACCACCGTTGCTTCGTTGGACAATGCAGTCTGATTCAGTTGGCAGCTGCTGGGCTGGAGAGAGGCGAGAAGACCTCTCGAAACTGCTAACCCTTCCTTCCTTCCAGGCACCTCTTCACAACTCGTCGTCGGAGACGATGAGCATCCGTTTCTCAAGACTCTTTGTCTTCTTGCTTTGCGAGGCCTCCGCCGGAGGACTCACGTGGCCATTCTGTCCAAGCCCGCCTTCCGTCTCCTGCATGGATTGCTGTGTGTATTGTTGGTAGGTTGGGGAAAAATTGTGGATGGCATCTTGGACAATATCTTGAGGGCTCATCGTTTCCTTCAGCCCGCTGGAAATGCTTTGCAATGGGGCCAGGCGTGCTAGAAGATAAAGGGAAGAGACCAGAAGAGAATCAATGGACCAGCAGACTTTTGTTGTTGTTGTCGTCGTCGTTCTTCAAGCAAGCCACTAAGAAGTCAGTTTACCTGCACAAACCAGTCTGCCAGGGAGGTGGAACCCAATAGTGATTGAAGGCACCAGGGAGAAGAAAAATAAATTTGCCTTGACGATTTTCAACAGGTTGGTTTTTTTCCTGCTGAAGGGTCATGACCTTTTCTACCGCATCTCCCAACTCTTTGAAACTTTCTCATTTCTCTTGAGTTTGTTTGGAGCTGAACTTGTCTCTGCAGGTGGCCTGAGGTCCATGGCTACTATTTTTCATTGTACTGAAATATCCCTAACTGCATCATGCCCCAGAATGGCCGGGCCCCATAAGAGAGAACGCCCCACTTTAACGGATGTGTAGGAAACTAAGGAGCCCTTGGCTGTTGGGGAGAGCATCTTATAATATAAGCAGGCCATTCCCAGCCCCATGCTTTGATGTCTTCTCCCTAAATAAGCTAGAACATACTCCTAACATTGTTCGCTTTTACTACTTTACTTGGAAAGATACTGGGGGGAAAATGTTTTTTAATCAAGTTTGAGAAATGGAAGGGAAATAAACACAGAATTCTTACTCATTGGCCCTAGGAACAAGACACCAGGTGACCTTTCTGCTTGCTCACCCCCTCCTGAGCCTCCCTCTGAACTGCAGCCCCTGCTCTTCCACTTCCAAAGGCCCTGAGTCCCTGCACCGATTGGCTGGATGTGAATTGTCCTGGGAGGCCAAAAGCCCGACGTGAACTGAACTTCGACGAATGGGACCCGGCTAAGGGACTGGGACAGAGGGGCCGGGCCAATGTGCCGGGGCGAAAGACTGGGAGCGTGTCAGCCGAGGAGAAAAGTTTGTGGCGAATAACGCAGAGGCGAAAACCTTAAGGTGAAACAGGCAAGGCGAAGAGACCGAGGCGAAAAGTCCTAGACCCCCCTGCCTACCTTCTGTATAACTGAAAGGAGCAGGTTCCCTTGAATCAAGTTACCTGTGGCGCTTTCCTTTTTCTCTTGGTACACCTGGCAGGTGAAAGCGTAACGGAGAGCAATGGAAGCAAACAGCATTTCAATGCAGATGATGAAGTTCTGGTAGCCGGCCGCAACGGTGCCGGCTCCCACCGCCTTCCCGTCAATGATCTGAACTTCTGGGATGACCCCACATTTCTCCAAGATGGCCAGGAGCATCCCTGCAAAATAGGAGTGGTTGCAAAACATGAGCAAGGGTTCCCAAGTGGATTCCCCACAGGTCCAGGAAATGTCTGAAGGAACCTACGTAATTGTCCCATGCCAGAATTCATCAGAATTACAAGATCCCACCGAGAGGTTTTCGGGTTTTTTTTTAATACTGACAAATTGAGTTTGCCCGGGAAGGTGAAAGAATTAATAGAGAACTTAGGTCTCCTATTCCAGGCCTTCAGCCCTCCCCACCCGCATGACAGGAAGTAGAGCGACTCGCCTTGCCAAAAGGAGAGGAAGATGACCGCCTTGATGGTGAGAAACTTCAGGACTGGCTCAAAAGGTCTCAGGAAATCCATGGTGGCAAAGTAGAAGAGGAAGAGGGCGTAGAGGGCCAGGCTGACCGAAAAGTTGTAGATGATGGAGACGTAGAGGTATCCACTGTGGATGCTGGGAAACAAAGCGTCGAAAGAGGCAGAATTCCTTATTAGGAAGCATTCCCTTTCCAAGCCTGTCACAGTTTCCCCTTTTTCCTCCCTGTCCCTTCCATTCTCACTTGAAATCGCCATCGTGGTACTTCCCAAATGCTTGGAGAACGATGGTGAGGATGGCCATGACTGGTTTGATGATGCAGAACTGCAGGGTGGCCTAGAAGGAAGCCAAGAAACGGCTCCATTGAAACCACCCAGCTTCTGTGCCTCCGTTGTCACCTAATCCCTTAATCCAGACTTCAGGGTTTGGGTCCAATCTAGGATGGGCAATCTGAGATCCCCCCACAAACGCTCAAATCTACCATGGCTTCCACAAACGCCCTCATCACCCATGGCTGTCACTAGGAGTGATGAAAGCTGGTTGGGTGTCCAGCAACCAGGAAAGCAACAGATTCTCCCATGCTAAGATCGCATTTCCACAGCCTGAGCGTCTTTGGGCAACGACTGTCTCCAATTTCCCTCTATGCCTATAAAGGCAGGAGAAATACAGATATTTCACACAACAGAGAACCTGCAACGTTTTTGTCTGGGAAAAATGAACTGAAACAAGTTTTGGGGTAGGAATAAATAAAGATAATGGCCTCCCTGGAAGTACCATGGATGACGGAGAACCGATCAGCTGCAGCTCTTATTTTATGAAATGTTCCTCACCTGCTTGCAGAAGCGAAGAAACCCGATGGAGTAAGACATCCCTCGGAGACAGCAAGTTCCGTAGAGACAACTAGAACTAAGAAAAAGCGGAGCCATCAATCAGCCCAAGCATGGGGCCTTAAGGCTATATCAGTGATGGCTAACCTTTTTGCCGTCGTGTGCCAAAAGCAGGGGGAGTGTGAGGGGGTCGTGTGCGTGTGTGCCCACACCCATAATTCAATGCGCCCCACCCCGCCCGTGTGTGCGTAACCACCGCGTTCCCCCCGCTTTTGGCACACAGTGGGCCCGGTAGGCCTGATTTTCATCATCCCCAGGCTCCAGAGCCTTTCTAGGAGCCTGGGGAGGGCAAAAACAGCCTTCCCTATCCCACCCCCAGAGGCTCTCCGGAGGCCGGAAACAGCCCGTTTGCCGCCTTCCGGTGGGACCGGAAGGCCAGAAAATCCTCCAGAACTGAACTAGGGCAACAGTTGCATGCCTACTGATACGGCTCTGCGTGCCACCTGTGACACGCATGCCATAGGTTCGCCATCACGGGGCTATATGCTGGGTGTGAAATACTCCCAACTGTAAACAGAAGTGAGATATACATTAGCTATGGTCAACTTACACAATGGGCTTCCCTCGGATTTCCGCCATGATGGTACTTTCTCCTCCAAGATATTCAAAGCAGAGGCTGAGGAAGCTGTAAATCACAAAGGCTGCAAAAAAAGGAGGGGAGGGGAGAGATTATTTATTAGAAAGTCTCACCCAGTTGGCTTCCATACCTTAGGCGGGACTAGAACTCTCTGTCTCCTAGTGATTGGCCCAGAGTCACCCAGTTGGCTTCCATACCTTAGGCGGGACTAGAACTCACTGTCTCCTAGTGATTGGCTCAGAGTCACCCAGTTGGCTTCCATACCTAAGGCAGGACTAGAATTCACAGCCTCCTGGCTTCTAGACCAGCACCTTAACCACCACACCAAACTGGCTCTCAAACATACACAGAACTCAATACGAAGGCGGAAATCGTGACCAATTTCCACCAGATTTTAAATAGGACTGCCTTTCATCCATGCATGTCTTAAGTCCCTGCAAATAGGCTGTCCTTCCTAGCCACACACTGGAAGAAGGATTGCGTAAAATGTTGCCTTTGAACTTGGACCCTTCGGCTCAGTTTATGACCGAATGCCAACCTCCGCACCACGCCCACATATCCGGGGTACTAAGTTCTCCAGGGACAGCCGCGAATCCCAGCTCACCTTCGTAGCAGTCCCGCACCGAGTCAAAGTAAACATAGTACTGATGGCTGCCGATTAACAGGAGGCTAAGCCATGAATCGAAGGCATAAATGGGGACGATAAAAAGAATCCGGATGATGTAACGCTGCTCATTGGGAATGGTGTAATTTTTCAGGTGCAAGAAGATCTGAAAGGAGAGAGAAAAAGAAGGGAAGACACACAACACAGGATCAGATGCAGCGTTTCCAGCGAGAAAAACCTACAGAGCCAGTAAGGATCAATGTGCTGTAGCTATTTTTGTTTGTGGGGATGTGGCTGCCTCTATTTGTCTCATCCAAAGATCATCTTAAGACCAGCCAAAGAGAGTTTTGGGAGCTGGAGGACATAAATACCACACATATCTGCTTGCGTGGCCTTCAACCTGGAATTAGTCCCAAAGGTTCTTTTTTCAAGAGGCAACTGGACTTTCTAGTTTTTCTTCAGAGATGTTTGCTGAAGCAGAGCTGAAGAAGCTTCTTGGATTAGAAGTGAAATGTCTTCAAAGAAAAACCAGAAAATCCAGTTGCCTCTTGAAAAAAACACCTTTGGGACAACCATGACCTAGATGACTGAGAATCTCCATAGACCCTGAAGAAGTTCTGAAGAAGCGCCTTGAAAGAAAAACCAGAAAGTCCAGTTGCCTCTTGAAAAAAGAACCTTTGGGACAACTATGGAGATTGTCAGATGACTGAGAATCTCCATAGAGACAACCTGGCATTAGATGAAGCTTCAGGTCTCCGAAAGCTGCTGGCTTCTAAGCAGCCATGGGAAATCTGGCCTTCCAAGAATGCTTCAGCCAGTACGGTCGGTGGTGAGATACTAGGAGTGACCCTTCTGTAACTTCCTTCCTCTCTGGGTGGAAACCACAAGTGAACAAGCAGCCAGCAACGATAAGAGGATTAGATCTTGCCAGGGGGGCGATGGAAATGACTTCCCCCATTTTTCTATAAAATAATCAGAATTGAAAAGCAATAAAATATCCTAGGCTAATATTGGCAGGCCTATAAAGACTTCTCTCCAGAGAAAACCCTACTGAACTCAGAAGGCCGAGCTGCCTCACTTGGTAAGAAGCTACAGAGAAGTTCTACCATGATAGCCTTGTCCGATGGCACAGGAAGCAAGACTCCACATAACCTGATCAAACAGCCATGGCTTCTGACAATCTTTCCCCAAATAGATGCCTTGCACATCTGGACTATCCCCCTCTCCCATCTTACACAGCCACCTGGAAAGACGGAGTCCCAACAGGCCCGTGCAGCGCTACCACCCACCTGGTGGAAAGTAAGGATCAGGGCCGTCCAGACAAAGAGTCCTGAGATGGCTTTTGCCGTGGAAGTGGTTAAAAATAGCGGTTGGGTCTCCTGGGAGTGATTCTGATCAGCCCTCAGCTGGGAACCGTCCTCAACAATTAAATGGCTGGAGACCATCGGCGAAGAGAAGAAATGGAATGAGGTAGCCACCATGCTGGAAGTCAGGAGCTTTTCCGGGGCGGGAGAAGACCGGTTGGCGTGTATCGTGGTATTCATCTGCTGGAGAGGAGGGAGCAAAGGTGAATGTATTAGGGAGGAGTACCGCACGAGGAAAGCTGTCCTGATTGAGAGGAAAGATCAAGGTGAATTGCTGAAGAGAAGCAGATTATTCATCATATCCTTGTACGTTCTTCTGTCAGGCTCAAGTGATCAGAGACAAGGAGTCGATCTCTTGTGGCTGCGCAAGAACTCCAAACTGATGACGTGTTTTACCCCGCCCTCGGGTCTAGCCTGCTCATCTCCTACATCCTTTTTTTCATCTCTTTTGACCCCCACCTGCTAGCGTCCTCTCCCTTCTCCAAGGAGTTCCATGGGGTAGTTCCAGCCTACAGAGGGCAGGCTGGTCCAAAAGAGATTCAACAAGCAAACTTCGCCAGCAAGAAAGAATTCACATCCCAACAAATGAAAGCCCACTCAAACTGGATGCTAAGTGACTTTGATCACCCTCCTACATATAGCGAATTTCTTGGCTTTGAGTGACGGATATGGATAGCCCTCACGATTGCAGAAGTAACAGCTGGAAGCTTTAAAATTATCCTGTCATCCAAGAAAAAAACATGTCTGGCAAAGATTTGAAGAATCCGACATCTTTACCTTGTTAGAATACTTCGCCCATCTGATTAGCAAGTGCTGGATTATATTTGCTTTAGCTGAAACACTCCTATTTCCATCCTGTTTTTCTCTCTGTGGAGAGGGCTTTAACATACAGTACCTACCTTTAATACTCTGAGCAAAACCCAGCAAATATTTTACACACAGCCTACTGTAGCTACCGATGATGCAGCTGCTTTAAAGAGCCACAGATGAGGATTCCAAAGCATTGCAGAGCCTTGACAGTTACATTAACAGTACACCATGTATTTTAAATTAGAAAGTCATATGTTGCTCAAAAGTTTAGTAATTGCTGTTATATTTCCTAATTGTTGAGGTTAAAAGGGGGGGGGGGGGAGAAACCTCCTCTTCCTCGTTTCTATTCGACAGAATAGAAACTACAATTTTTTTTTTTGACTTGAGAGAATCCACGCAAGGATAATCCAGTGGCTATTAGAACTGCACCTCTCATTTCTCTTCTTAATGCTGGGAACTCTTTGTTTGCAAACTCCAAGCAAAGCAAAATAATAATGTGTCCAAGCTTCCAGGACTAAATGGGGGTGGAGCTTTGTACATTCTGGGATATTCTGGACGTCTCTTTCCTAGCATCCAACTAATAATATACTTATATTTTTAGGGAGGGTGTCCAGAGGGCCCCCTGAGTTGTCACATTTCCCTCTTTAGCTATCCATGCCTTGCATTTCTCCCACCTTCTATTCTAGGCATTAAGACATACACATACACACGCTCAATTTTTTCCCCCCAAGAAAGGCATTCATTACAAAAATAACTTTTATGATAGACAACTAAGCAACTAAGGATAAAGACCAGCTGCTCCATTTTATTAATCTTTGCTTAGTTGAGCTGTAGTAAATTCTGCCCCCCATCTTAGCTGGCCAATGACATCAGCCCCCCTATATAGACATTCTGTAAATCTGAATAAATCTTTTCGCAAGAGGCTTAGGGTTACCACGCCATCTGCTTTTTTCAGCCCAAACACAGCCCCAAGGTGTCACTCCTCCTCCCCAAACAATCCTAATTTTTTCTAACCTTTCCCAGTGTCAACTGTCCCTACATTTCATTTTAGGAAAGCATTAGAATAGAATAGCTTTTTATAACGATTCTGTAAGAAAAACAAACTGGATCACTTGAGTTTTGAGGCTGCAATCTTGCACAAATCTAGAAAAAGTTGCACCATTAGGACATTTCCCCATCCAATGATTGCACTATAAATCTGGAAAGATTTGTGTGACTAAAAGTATTTTGAAAAGAAAAGGACACTAAGACAGGGGTCTCCAACCTTGGCAACTTTAAGACTTGTGGACTTCAACTCGGGAGTTGAAGTCCACAAGTCTTAAAGTTGCCAAGGTTGGAGACCCCTGCTCTAAGATATTCCCTTGGAAAAGATAAATGTAAAGATTCCCCTCACACATATGTGCTAGTCGTTCCTGACTCTAGGGGACGGTGCTCATCTCCATTTCAAAGCCAAAGAGCCAGCGCTGTCCAAAGACGTCTCCATGGCATGACTCAACGCCAAAGGCGCAAGGAACACTATTCCCTTCCCACCAAAGGTGGTCCCTATTTTTCTACTTGCATTTTTTACATGCATTCAAACTGCTAGGTTGGCAAAAGCTGGGACAAGTAACAGGAGCTCACCCCGTTACTCGGCACCAGGGATTCGAACCGTTGAACTGCCGACCATTCGAACGACAAGCTCAGCGCCTTAGCCACTGAGCCACCATGTCCCTTATTCCCTTGGAAAACCTCAACCTAATTTTCTTCTCGTTGCAAGGATGGCAAATTTCTTCCTGAAAAGACACGCCAGTACTACTACTGTTTTAAGTCACCTGCCCCATTTTAAGGGCTTCTATTAAAAATAATTACATTTTTAATAAAGGGGCAAAGGCAACTTTTTTAATTAAAAAGTTGCCTCATTTCCCTACAGCATAAGAGTGATGAGATCAAGCTGTTAGGAGCCAATTACGGCGTATCTGTAATTAAGAAATGCTTTGGTTAAGATTCATTTATTCATCCTAGAATCTAAAAGACAAAAGGAGCCCCATTCTCAACTCAAGGCAGGAAACAATTAAAACATCCCAGTCCAGCTTCTGTCTGAATATATACTATAAAGATGGATCAGCCCATGACTGAATAAGGGACTATTTAGTTAACCTGGTGACATCACCACTACTCAAATCTCTTCATAGTTTCTTCCTTAATTAAGATTATCATAAATACAAATGAAGAGAAAGATAGAGAAGGAAAGAAAGAGAAAAAGAAAAAAAGTAAGTGTAGGATAAAGGGGGGAAAGAAAAAAAGCATTGATTTCCAACTTTTTTTTTCAATGCAGTAAAGTACAAAATAAAATTACAGCTTCAACTTTTTACTTTTACATACTTAGTATTTCTGTACCAACATATTAATCAGCAGATCCTAGAGTCAATATTTTTTAATGTCTCAAGCACAAATTTCAAAGTGATTTCCAGGTAGAAACAAAAGTAGATAGATTATCTCCGATTAAAACGGTTCGTTTTGCCATCTCTGCTAGCCATCCTTTTTATTCTTTTTCATATTCTTTTTTTAAATTTAATTCCCAACATTTAATTTGGCTTCAGTGCAAGTGACATGATGACCCTAGTAAACCTTGTCATTTCAACCGATGAAAGCAATCGCTTGTCTTAAAAAAAAGAGAAAGACCTTTTCTGGTTTTCCAGTTGAAATGTCCATCACCTCCCTTACTTACAACCTTCTCCCTTTTTGCTTTGCCAATTAACCCAAGTTTTTAGACGTTCTGTTACCTATTCGATGGATCCAGGCTTCTAGCGTTCTTGCCAAACAGAAGAACAGGTTGATAAATTGCCACTCTCGTGAGCTTTCCAGACACACAAATCTTTGTTATGAATCCACCAGCTTTATTGATATCCTTTTCAGCTGCTGGGAGAAAACTCCAGGGCCGGATACATGCTTACTCACCCCCATGTGGTAGACGATGCAAGCGTTTCAGTGGTCTTGTGCTTACGAGTACACAGGAGCCTAAAAATACACCTCTCCCTACTCCTAGGAGTAGGAGGGTGGAGAGATTCAAGGATCTGAGGAGCAACTCCAGCTGATAGGTAGGTGGTTGATTGGTTGGTTGAGCAGTTCCTCAACCAGAAGAGGAGCTCAACCCCGGTAACCACAACATTGGACGATGCAATGAGGTTATGCAGATTATTCCAGCCATCAGCTGACCACCAGAGTCCTCCCCAGGCTCAGATGTCCCTGTTCAGTCAACACTTGGCTCTTCTCTGACCATTGGAGAGCCTGCCAAGGAGGGAGCTTTGGAGCAAGGTACACGCTGGTACTATCACAACATCAAACATTAACCAGCCTGTGAAGAAGCTGGTAGGCAAGGAAAGGAAGTCGCAAGAGGCCCAGATAGCGTTCCCTTCTTCCTTGTTTGCTTTCCAAGAACACAGAGTAGTCCTACCCAGCTGGGAGAGACCCGAAAGCTACTTTAAAAGAATAAATAACCCAAAGAGACCCACGCTAGAAGAAGTGGACGGAGAAAGATCGAAGCTTTTAAATATAGTAATAACTTTATTGTCATTGTACGTGTATACACAGTACACCCATACAATGAAATTATAAGTTTTGAAGTCCCCAGAAGGTCCTCTGCCTTTTCTGCTATTAAAAAGGATTCTTATCTGTTCCCCTGAATCCAGGAGATTCTAAGGGAGCCCAGACCACGAAACCCATCTGGATAAAGAGAACTTATCAAATTTGCCTGGGAGAAACACGAGCAATTCTTGAACGTGTCAACTGGATCTCAGGAGTTCCCTTTGGAAGAACAAAAAAACCGTCCAGCAAGCTTCAGCCTAGCAGCTCAAAACAGCCTCTACAAACTTCCCTGTAATATTTTTCTTAAATCACAACCGGGCGCCGGCTCACTCATTCGCAACCGCCTTGCTTACCCACGGTCTCCGTTGTGGCCGTAACTCGAGGACTTCCTGTATTCTGGACATTATTCTCGCCGCCAAGGTAGCCACGCCGCCTGTGCCAAGGCGGGGAGGAATTTCGGAGGAGCGTGCATCGCTCGCCTTGGCTCTCGCGGCCCCACCAAACCTGTTGCGTTGCTTTTCGCCAACCTGCGTGGCCCGACACGAGAGCCCGCTCAGCCGGTGCTGAGCCTTGGAAGCCCAGCAGCCGCTTCTCACCTACTGTCAGCCGGATTCTTCCCCCGTGAGCAAAGCAGGTGGGGCTGAACTCCACCCAGGGCCTCTGTTTATTCGGAGCGATGGGCTGAGTTTACTGGCCAGACAAGCCAGCTCAGCTCAACTTGCTTTAGCCTGGGGCAGGGCTGATGTTTTAGCCCCTCCTTGCTTAATCAGCAGCAAGCAAACTCTTCAAGGGTTTTCTGTGGGGCGGGCAAGAGACTGGCTGGCCTCTCGGAGCCCTTAACCCGGATTCCTGTAGGCTAATATAAAAACCCTCCTTCCGGTTGGCTCAAATGGGTCCTGTGGTTTTCTTGGATCAACAGCAGCACGATATAATTTGCAGGGACTGCTGCTGGGAATCTGTATTTCCCATCCTAGATAACAGGCGAGGGTGAGTTCTAGTCCTGTCTTAAGCAATGAAGCCAGCGAGGTAACCTTAGACCAATCACCAGGAGACAGCGAGTTCTAGTCCTGTCTTAAGCAATGAAGCCAGCGAGGTAACCTTAGACCAATCACCAGGAGACGGCGAGTTCTAGTCCTGTCTTAAGCAATGAAGCCAGCGAGGTAACCTTAGACCAATCACCAGGAGACGGCGAGTTCTAGTCCTGTCTTAAGCAATGAAGCCAGCGAGGTAACCTTAGACCAATCACCAGGAGACGGCGAGTTCTAGTCCTGTCTTAAGCAATGAAGCCAGCGAGGTAACCTTAGACCAATCACCAGGAGACGGCGAGTTCTAGTCCTGTCTTAAGCAATGAAGCCAGCGAGGTAACCTTAGACCAATCACCAGGAGATGGCGAGTTCTAGTCCTGTCTTAAGCAATGAAGCCAGCGAGGTAACCTTAGACCAATCACCAGGAGACGGCGAGTTCTAGTCCTATCTTAAACAATGAAGCCAGCAAGATAACCTTAGACCAATCACCAGGAGACGGTGAGTTCTAGTCCTGTCTTAAGCAATGAAGCCAGCGAGGTAACCTTAGACCAATCACCAGGAGACAGCGAGTTCTAGTCCTATCTTAAACAGTGAAGCCAGCAAGATAACCTTAGACCAATCACCAGGAGACAGTGAGTTCTAGTCCTGTCTTAAGCGCTGAAGCCAGCGAGGTAACCTTAGAGACCGATCACCATGAGATGGTAACTTCTAGTCCCACTATTGGCATGAAACCCAGCTGGGTGACTTTGGGCCAATCAGCAGGAGACGGGGAATTCTAGTCCCACCTTGGGCAGGAAAGCCGGCTGGGTGACTTTGGGCCAGCCACTCTCTCTCAGCCCAACCCACCTCACAGGGTTGCTGTTGTAGAGGAGGAAGTGTTTGATATGTTTGCTGCCTTGAGTTACTTGTAAAAATAATGAAAGGCGGGATGCAAACAAACAAAATTCTAAGATATTCTAGAGGCCTCCCATTCAAGTGTTAATTCGGTCCAATCTGGTTTGACTTCTAAAATCAAACAAGTGCCTACTAAGGTCCAGATTTCAGGGCCCTTCCTCTTTAACTACATAACTACACAAAAATTTTGGGATTTCTTTGCTGGATTTCAAACTACTTTGCTAATGCCGAGGTCCTTGGGAAAAAAAAGCTCTGTTTGAAATCGTTGGGGTTTGACATTTGAATTAAGCCCATTAGGATTGCAAGGACAAAACCTTTTGGGCAAAATCAGGCTGGCTAAAATTATATATATATGTGTGTGTGTGTGTGTGTGTGTGTGTCTTTGGTTATTCGGGTTTTCTCCCGCGTAAACTTGGAGGTGTCTTGGCAACGTTTCGACAAAGTCTCATACGCGGGAGAAAACCCGAATAACCAAAGACCTACATACAAACACCCGCAAAAACCTCAGAACACACACACACACACACACACACACACACATATATATAAAATTTATAATTCACTGATAAATAAAGGGAAACAAGTATAGATCTATTTCAAGCTATTTAGCTCTCATCAGCTAGCCATATATATAAAATATAAATATAAATATAAATTTGGTATAAAATGCTTTGCCGTGAATGCTTGAGGGCTCCTGGATTGGAGCTGAAAGGCGAAAGGGATGCAGTATGCTCCCTCCCATATGCTGGGGTAGACCAGGTGCCTCAGGAGACTTTGCAACATGATCGCCAACATCACAGTTACGCAGAAGAAACTGCTATCAGTCCCCACTGGGCTTGCGCTCAGGTAAGGGCAGCCGAAGGTGCATGAAATTTTCCCTTTGATTGAATTTTCCAAAGCCTTTCTGTGGAACTTCAAAACAATGGTTTTTTTTTCATTTGACCGTATCAGAATTAAATTAAATCTACAGGAATGCAGACATCACTTAATGTAAATATTTGCTCTTTTGTCCAGAGGGCACAGAATCAGAAGTCTGAATTCAGAATATTGGGATTCAGTCTAATGCCATAATCCTCAGTCCTTGTTTGGGACATACCTTATCAAACTCAGAGTAATTTACTTGACTCAAGTCTATTGTGTGAAGGCAGACGCTGGGATTATTTTATCTTTCAGACTGATCTGCTGCTAGATTCATTCCGTAGGCCATTCTTTAATTGTAAAAACTTGGCCAGGGTCCTTAACACCATATTCTTATGCATGTCTACGTGGTACAGTTTTTTATATATATATATATAGTGACTCTGGGCAACCCATATAACAAAAAAAATTGAGTTAAAAATGGGATGCGAAGCCTGTCCTCTGTTTATGTTGGCATCTGAGATTTTAAAGTTGCAACAAGCCTTTATGTGACTTGGTCCACAGACTGTGCTTCAAAACAACTGTAGGTCTGAAACAGGTGTGACACCCAATCTATAAACTGGATTGAGCTCGGCTGGATGGGTGACTTCTACCTGAGTCTCACATCTGTCCGTATTAAAAGTCCTTGGCTTTTTTTGTAAGGAATAATACTTTTTTTTAAAAAATAATTACTGTGCCTTACTTGCCCTCTTGGTAGCAAGATAGGCAGCTTAAAAAGTTAAATCTCTCTCTCTCTCTCTCTCTTTTTCTATCTCTGTATCATCTATCACTGCCTGTCTGTCTGTCTATCTACAGTATCTATCTATCTATCTATCTATCTATCTATTTATCTATCTATCTATCTATCTATCATCTATCTCTCAATCATCTATCTATCTATCTGTCTGTCTATCTCTCATCTATCTCTCATCTATATCTATCTCTCTCATCTATCAATCATCTATCTCTATCAATCTATCTCATCTATCTATCTCTCATCTATCTATCTCTCATCTATCTATCTATCTATCTATCTATCTATCTATCTATCTATCTATCTATCTTCTCTCTCTCTTCCATAAAAGAGCCTGCAGTACTTTTTCAAACGGCCTCATTCTGTCCTCCGTGTTAAGAAGACCCGCTTCTCTCTTCGTGGTCAACGCCCACCCTCTAGTAATCAACCAGAGAAGCTAAAAATAAAAAGACCCATTCAAACTTTCAAACAAACCTTGGAAAATCGGGACGCAGACCTGCTTACCTCGGTCCTGGAGCTCCGTTGACCTCCGTGGTTCTGAAAAGCAGGTCAGGCTGGTGGGAGTCTTCGCTGGGTGGGCGAAGTTACCTTACACTTCCTACGCGGTTGCTGCCAGACCGATACAAATTCGATTTAAGGCTCTTTGCTCGCCTGACCCAACCCAACCCAACCCAACCCGCCGCCAACCTCGCCCCGTTTCCCGGCTTCGCTCCCTCCACCGACCCCACCGGACGTCCCGGTCCCAAGCCAAGCCTGGAACTCACCTGCCTGGCATCCCGAAGCCGGCCGGCGAAGGGTGGAAAGTTGCGGCCGTCGATTCCTCTTCTTCCCTGGGGAGGGAACCCCGAGATCTGCGCTGGGAGGTTTTGCGCGAGTTCCCGTGCTTCCCTCGGGCCGGAGCGCCTCGCAATGCCAACTTCTCCTCCCTGCCCCCCCTTGGCTACCTACCTACCTGCGCTACCTGCCCAAACTCCGGCCCAGGAAGCGGCCGTCCCACCTGGCGCGCCGCCCGGCTGCTTCCTCCTGGCTTTCTCAGCCGGCTGCCCGGCAGCACCTTCCCCGGAGACTCCTCCTCTTCCCGCTCCCTGCCCAGCTCAGTGGGGTGGGGAGGCGGCCAGGCTTACCTTACCCGCCCCTTCTCGGGCGCCGGGACTCGTGCCAGGCGATCTCTGACCGGGCGGGGAGGATTTGCGCCATTCTCCTGCCGAATATGCGCTCTGTGGCTCGGCGTTCAGCTTTAAAGGACTTCCACCCTGGTGTGAATCCGACCCATCTCGTTTGCAAGCTACAGTTTGTGCTCAGAATAAGAGAGTCGGAAGGGACCTTGGAGGTCTTCTAGTCCAACCCCGCCCTGCTCGAGCAGGAGATCTTACACCATTCCGGGCAAATGGCTGTCCGATCTCTTTTTGAAAACCTCCAGTGTTGGAGCACCCACAACTTCTGGTGGCAAGCTGTTCCACTGGTTAATTGTTCTCACCGTCAGGAGATTTCTGCTTAATTCTAGGTTGCTTGATTCCTTTCCATCTATTACTTCTTGTCCTTTGGAGAATAGGTAGCGGAAATTTTGAGCAGTTCGGAGAACTGGCAAATGTCACCTCTGGCTGGCCCCAGAGTGGGGTGGGAATGGAGATTCTGCAATATCCTTCCCCCAGGAGTGGGGTGGGAATGGAGGTTTTGCAGTATCCTTTCCCCTGCCATGCCCTCAGAACCGGTAGTAAAAAAAATGTGAATTCCACAACTGGTTCACCCCTCTTCTCTGTGACAGCTCCTCAAATAGTTATCATGTCACTCATAACCAAGAAAGCCACAAATTCCTTTATGGGGGGGGCGAGGAATAGAGCAAGGGAGAGCAACTCTGACCACTTTACAACCTGTGGACTTCAACTCCCAGAATTCCCAGGCTGGCTCAGGAATTCTGGGAGTTGAAGTCCACAGGTCATCAAATTGCCATAATTGCCTGCCCCGGGAATAGAAGCTTATAGGACTGAAAGATTTAAAACCTAGAAAACCAGTTTAGGGTAGCGGTTAAGGGCAGAGGCTAGAAACTAGCTAGGTGACTTTAGTCAGTCCCTCTCTCAGCCCTAGGAAGCAGGCAAGGGCCAACCATTTTGGAAATCTTGCCAAGAAAAACTGCAGGGATTTGCCCAGCTAAGTCACCTCCCCTTCCCGTGTTAATTTCTGAAACCAAAGTCATCATTTCAGTTTATTATGTTTTCCACCTTTCCACGGTCCGTTCCAGACTTTCTCAGTCTTGGCCCCTTTAAGACATTTGGATTTCAACTCCCAGAATTCCCCAGCCAGACATGATCATCAGCAAGTTAGGGTGGAAACAATGCTTTTTAACTTTCTTTTTTAAGGAGTCAATTAGACAGACCAACATTACTGGAAACATATTGCAATTCCTTTATTGTTTTACTCAAGCAAAAACAAAATAACCGTAGTTTCCGAAGATGGTAGCAAAGCTATTCTGAATTTATTCGGGCTGTTTTCGGAATGAGAAAGGATGGAGAGGAAACCCTCAATAGGAAGATGTGATCTGAACTACTTCCTATGTGCTATAAAACTGAAATGTAAGGAAAAAAATGAAGTGTGTATGTGTTAAACACTGCAGCTGAGAAAAAGCTGCCTCCTGTTCAACTCTTGAAACTTCCATGGGTTTCCACAGAAAAATCCAATTAACTACTAGGAAAACCTGATGTAAAATTTGCTGAGGCTAATTTCTAGGTAGGTGCAACCTCAAAGTTTTTAATGGTTACAGCAAGTTTTGGAACAGGTATTTGTGAATGTTTGTGTAACTTGAATGGACACCCGTTGTGTCAGCTTACCCACAAATGTTCATTATCAAGGTTCAAAATAAGAAAAAAGTGAACATGTACATCAAAAGAGTCCAACCTTGGCAACTTTAAGACCTGTGGATTTAAAGACCTGATTTTGAGACCTGTGGACTTCAACTCCCAGAATTCTGGGAGTTGAAGTCCACAAGACTTAAGGTTGCCAAGGTTGGACACTCCAATGTACACAATCAAGTTTGCATCCAAACCAACATTAACCTCAGCCAGATATCTCTGGCATCCAAAGAATTCTTCCGGCCCATCATCACCACACTCGGCATTGGTGGATGAGTTCCTTCAACGCCCGGATGCCTTCAATGCTTTTGTCCTTCAGAGCCATGGCTAGTAGAACAGTCCTGTTGCCAGCTTCCTGAGACACCGAGGTGACCAGATGCTTGGCGGAGATGTGGACGAGAGGCTGAAAGCAAGCCAAGAAGATCTTGAGAGAACATTTCTCCCCCAACTTCACCTTCTCCACCTCTTCCCTCCATGGTGTGGTCATCTGGCTAAGCCATCAAGAAAACTGGTGTCCTTTTTTTTCCCCCCATCCTCCTTTTCCATTTAAGAAAGAAGATTATAAATGTACAAATATGAAATGATAGACTGGGTAAAACGGGAAAGAAATTGAAAAGAAAGTATATATTATCAGAAAATTGGAGTTGCTCAGATACCAAATAAGGGAAATATTGCACAAAGGAGAAAGAAAGGAGAGAGGAGTAAAGGGATAGAGGACGAGAGGGGGAGAGATGAATGGAAGAGACGGGAAGGAGAGGAAGAAAGGATAGGGGACAAGAGCAGGAGAGAAGGTGAGAAAGGGAGAAAAGACGGGAGGAGTGGGGAAGAGGAAGGGGAAGTAGGGGAGGAGAGGAGAGGAGGAGGAAGAAAGTAGAAGAGGAGAAGTGGGAGGGAGGGGAAAGAAAGAAGGAGAAGAAGGTTTGTTGTGAAAAGAGGGAAAAGAGAAGGTAGAAGAGCAACCCCAAATGTGATTAAAATGTCTTTATTTTTATGCTTTCGTTAGAAAAAATATGTATATACACAATCAATTATGGATAAGAGAATGTACATTTACAATATGTGTATAAGAGATAAAAATAAAAAACTTTTTCAAGAAAGAAAAAGAAAGAAAGAAAGAAAGAAAGAAAGAAAGAAAGAAAGGAAGGAAGGAAGGAAGGAAGGAAGGAAGAAAGAAAGCAAGCAAGCTGGTGGACTCCCAAGAAAACAAAGGAAGGAAAAAAGGAGAAAGGAAGTCAAGGCAAATACTTGGCGGTAACTGAGATAGGGATGGGAGGAAGAATACCTCATCTTTGCCGAGGAGAACCTTGGTGGTCCACAAAGGTCTGTTGATCCCATCAGGCACTGCGTCAGGCTCCACCGAGACCAGCGTCCCCATCTTTCCATACTGGGTCACCACCACCAAGATCGTGGCTCCAAAGGCGGTGCAGACCACCTCCGTCGGGATGCCACCCACGATTTCTCTGCTCTGCTTTGAGACTGGGATGGGCTTGGTCGCCATAGCAGGAATCGGCCCTTTGCCCTAAAGGAAACCATCAGTAAGGAGGAGGACGCAACATCTCCAGATGCTTTCAAGCCAACTTCTCTCCGTGAGAGAAGGCTACGCTCCTGCTTCTTGGGCAGACGGTCCTTGATTTGGACCCTGGATCTTCACAGTTAACTTGTCAGTAAGGAGACCAAGAGAAAAGTTTGCTTGGCAAAGAAATCTTAACCTTAAGCCCCAACTGTTCCAAGCATCCATCTCTAAGGGGCACAGTGTGTCTCTCTATCTGGATTTCCTTCCTTCCTGCTTCCACCTATCACCTACCTCTCCTTCCTTCCTTCTTCCTTCCTTCCCTCTTTTGTTTCTTTCCTCCCTCTATTCCTCCCGCCTTCCTTCCTTTCCTCCCTTCCTCCTTTGTTTCTTTCCTCCCTCTATTCCTCCCCCTCCCTCCTTCCTTCCTTTCCTTCCTTCCTCCTCCTTCCCTCTTGTTTCTTTCCTCCCTCTATTCCTTCCTTCCTTTCCTCCTCCTTCCTTCCGTCTTTTGTTTCTTTCCTCCCTCTATTCCTCCCTCCCTTCCTTCTTTCCTTCCTTCCTCCTTCCTTCCCTCTTTTGTTTCTTTCCTCCCTCTATTCCTCCCACCTTCCTTCCTTTCTTCCTTCCTCCTTTCTTTCTTTCCTCCCTCTATTCCTCCCTCCCTTCCTTCTTTCCTTTCCTTCCTTCCTCCTCCTTCCCTCTTTTGTTTCTTTCCTCCCTCTATTCCTCCCTCCCTCCCTCCTTCCTTCCTTCCTCCTTCCTTCCCTCTTTTGTTTCTTTCCTCCCTCTATTCCTCCCACCTTCCTTCCTTACCTTCCTTCCTCCTTCCTCCCTCCCTCCTTCCTTCCCTCTTTTGTTTCATTCTTCCCTCTATTCCTCCCTCCCTCCTTCCTCCCTCCCTCCCTCCCTTCCTTCTCTCAACCACAAAGCAAAAAAAAAACAATGAATGGGTAAAACCACTTTCACTATCGCTTAAACCTTCGGTCGCCCTTGCCTGGGTCCCAAAACTCTGCGTTCACTTTCTCTCCTGCGAAGCTTTTCCCAACGGACTCGGCTTCGCTGCCCCAGCCCCAGACCACCACCGGCGCCTCGTGCCAACCCCGGAACCCGCGTGCCAAGCCTGGAGGGCTGGCGGGTGGGAGGGCGCCTTAGCTCGCAGGCTGCCCTCTCCGGTGGAAGCGGCGGAGGCGCGCCAGAAGGCCGGAATGCAAAACCCTCCCAAGCCGCGCCGTCCAAGGGGTCGGAGGGGTGGGTGGGTGGTCCGGGGTTGGGGTCCCCTTCCCCGGAGGAGAGAAGGGGGAACGCGCAGCGCCCGCCCGGCCTCCGCCTCTCCAGCCAGCCGGGCGTGCGCGCAGGATGCGGGTGGGTGCAGCTGCGGCTCTCCAGGGCGCGTGGCTCGCCTGGGTTCGGTTGTCCACGGCCGGCCCGGAGCTAGAAGCTGATCTCCGCTTGCAGCCCGCTTCCTCCGACCGAGCCCTGCGCTCGCTCACCTGCCTCGCCTGCTTACTTTCCAAGCGATCGTCTCCTCCGCCTCCGCCGGTCTGGGCTGCTCCTGCACGCGTCCCCTCCTCCCGGGCGGAGCGCCAAGCTGGGCGGAGCGCTTCCCCGAAGCCCTGGAGTCTCTGGGCGTGTGCAGAGCGCCTCTTCGGTTTGACTCCGCGCGGCCCCGAGGGAAGCGGACCTTGGGTCGTAGCGAAGCGGGAGACGTCGGCCGCCTCGCTGCCCCAAAGCGAAAGTTGGCATTGCAAAACCGGATGCCAAAGAAAGAAGAGGGGCAGCGGGCTGGAGAAGGGCGGAGGGGAGCTGCACTAAGGAGCAGGAAGATCTTAGCCATGGTTTATTGACTAAGCCGGAATCAAACAACATGCTAGACATTAAACCAGAATGGCTGGGTATTGATATATTATGCCGGTGTTTCTCAGCCTTGGCAGCTTTAAGATGTGCGGACTTCAATTCCCAGAATTCTCTAGCAAGGCTGGCTGGGGAATTCTGGGAGTTGAAGTCCATCTATTCTGGCTGGGGAATTCTGGGAGTGAGTGAGTGAGTTAGTTAGTTAGTTAGTTAGTTAGTTAGTTAGTTAGTTAGTTAGTTAGTTTGTTTGTTTGTTTATTATTTATTTATTTATTTATTGGTTCGATTTCTATGCTGCCCTTCTCCGGAGACTCAGGGCGGCTTACAATGCGTTAAGCAATAGCCTTCATACTTTTGTATATCCCTGCTTAGTAGGGCTTTCGGGCCCCCCCAAGCGGTGTTCTTTTTTATACAAAGTCAGTTTATTTGCCCCCACAATCCAGGTCCTCATTTTACCTACCTCGGAAGGATGGAAGGCTGAATCAAACCTGGAGCCTGGTGAGATTCGAACTTGCAGTAATTGCAGGCAGCTGGTGCTGCTTAACAGCACTTTAGTCTGCTGCACCTTCAAGTTGCCAAGGTTGAGAGAGCCTGCTTTAGGCTAAGGGAGAAACAAGCAAAACCACATTCTGGTTTATGGGTTGTGTGCATGCAGCTTGTGGGTTTAAATCTCCGTCCTTCCACCGCTTCCAGCCATACGTAACCAATCTAGGGAGGGGGGGGGTCCCTGAATGGAGAAGTGGGCCTTCCTCAAAACAGAACCAATCAATCGAACTCCTTTTCTAAAAAAAAAAAAAGAAAAACCCCAATCATGCATTAAAGGGGGGGCTTTTAATACACGGACCCAGTGATTAATTGGCAACATCTTTTTATAGTTGATCAAAATGTTCCTAATTAATACGGCCGATTTGCCCAATATAGCAAATGTTAATTTAAACCCCATTGATTTAAGGAGCACTGATTCATACTTGGAGGCATGTCGCTGAGATTAACGGCCCTTATTTTCTTTCCTGAAAACCGCAGACCTTTAATTTCGATATGATTTATTTGCAGGGGCTGATGGACTGGGGGAGGGGGCGAGGGGGGTGGCAAGGGAGCCACCGTGCTCTCAAGGGTTGAAAGACACAAATTAATGCAAAACCTAGACGAAGTGCTTTGGAACAGAAATAAGTCATGCGAGAAGAGAACCAAAAAACACCCAGTTCTTCAGGGGGGAAAAACAATCCCCAGCTCAGAAATTATTATACAGAAAATTTCTGAGAAGCTTTTCCCTCCAGCTGAGAAAATGCTTGCAAACTGTTGCACGGTTACATTGAAAATATATATATTTATATATATATATAAAATCTTAGCCAACTTGTAGAAGATGAAAATTCAATAAAATTCAATAAAATTCAATAAAATTCAAGAAATTCAATAAATAAATAAATAAAATGGAAAAAAGGATGTTCAGGCGGCATTCCTCATTTGCTGCCTTCTAGGGCTGTTTGTACTTCGTCTCCCAGAGTTCCATGCGAGGCTGACTAAGGAATCCTGGGAGTTGAAGTCCCTGCACATCTGGCGGGTGTGCCATTGAGGAAACTGGGCCGGGAGAACATTCGCACAGTAATTCCTCTAGAGGGCAGCAGAGTTCCATAGAAAAGCTTGCCATTGCTGAATGCCTTCTCCGTCAGCATCTTCCTGCTGGCTGTGGATTATGGTTCTGAATCTCGGTTAGCAATCTTGGTTTATCTTCGCACTTTCTGGAAGAGGGCTAAGGATCCCATATCCCTTCTTTCTCCACCATTAAAGCCTTTCCCTACTCCAATGTTTCTCAACCTTGGGCTCCTTGAAGATGGGTGGACTTCAACTCCCAGAATTCCCCAGGCTGGGGGAATTCTGGGAGTTGAAGTCCACCCATCTTCAAGGGGCCCAAGGTTGAGAAACACTGTCATAATGTTTATTTTGGCAGGGATGGTAACGTCAACCCATGGTAACGTGGCTTCTCGTCCACAAACTATGATCAAACCCATGTTGGTTTCTTTGATAAGCCACAGCTAAGCATCGTTGCAGAGATGCGACGGTTGGGGTGAAAGTCCCCCGTCACCTCCCCTCCTCTTACAACAGAAAAGTTATTTTTATTCTTTTTTTAATCCTTTTAATCGCTTTCTGAGCTCCAGCTAAAAGAGAGGGTTCCTCTCGCATTCAGGAAGGCCAGATCTGGGGAGGGGTCTTCCCCCCTGAATTGGTGAGTCATGCTTCTTTTCAATACAAATCCCCTCTCTTCTCTCCCCCTCCTCTTCTTTTAGCCCTGGTTTGGCTGAGATGATCACGGAGGAGGGAAAAAAAATATGTGCTAATGGGAAATTGATCCTTCAGTGGCATGAAGATTGAGTCACCCTGTGGGAGGGGGAATTGTGGGGGATGGGGGGGCGATTTTATTTTGCAAAAGCTTAACTAGTTACAGAATAGCCTTGGGGAGGGGACGGTGGAGGTCTTCTAATCCAAATCCAGCCCAAGCAGGAGACTCTATACCAGGGATCGGCAACCTTAAGCACTCAAAGAGCCATTCCTTTTTCTTTCACTCTGGCGTCTCCTGGTGCCGCGATGGTATGTTTCGGTCAGAGGTGGGTTTCAGCAGGTTCTGACCAGTTCTGGAGAACCGGTGGCGGAAAGTTTGAGTAGTTGGGAGAACCGGTAGTAAAAATGCTGACTGGCCCCGCCCCCATCTATTCTCTGCCTCCCGAGTCCCAGCTGAGTGGGAGAAAATGGGGATTTTGCAGTAACCTTTCCCTGGAGTGGGGAGGGAATGGAGATTTTACAATATCCTTCTCCTGCCATGCCCACCAAGCCACACCCCACACCCACCAAGCAACGCCCACAGGACCAGTAGTAGTAGTAGTAGTAGTAGTAGTAGTAGTAGTAGTAGTAGTAGTAGTTGTTGTTGTTGTTGTTGTTGTTGTTGTTGTTGTTATTATTATTATTATTATTATTATTATTATTCCTCCTCCTCATTCTCAACTCCATGTGATCAGCTGTCCAGGACCTCAAACCCATGTGGTCCTGCTTCATCATTAAACCATCTTTCCAATCAGCCTCCATATTTCCAGTGGCTTTCTCCCAGCTTGGAACTAAACCAGATGGATATTGATGAATGTATCTTTTCTTTTATGTACACTGAGAGCGTATGCACCAAGACAAATTCCTTGTGTGTCCAATCACACTTGGCCAATCAAGAATTCTCTTCTCTTCTCTTCTCTTCTCTTCTCTTCTCTTCTCTTCTCTTCTCTTCTCTTCTATTATTCTATTCTATTCTATTCTATTCTATTCCATTCCATTCCATTCCATTCCATTCCATATTTTCTATTCTATTCTATTCTATTCTATTCTATTCTATTCTATTCTATTCTATTCTATTCTATTCTATTCTATTCCATTCCATTCCATTCCATTCCATTCCATTCCTTTTCATTCCATTTTTTCTATTCTATTCTATTCTCTTCTATTCTATTCTATTCTATTCTATTCATCCCATCCCTTTCCAGTCCATTCCATTCCATTCCATTCTTCCACCACCCTCCCCCTTTACAAGATAAAACGAGAACCCCTTCCCAACCGCGTCCGCAGAGACCGAAATATCGGCAGAGATGGGCATCTGTTTGACGGGTCTCCTCCTTCTTCTCCCCTCTTCCTTTCCCCCAAATTGCTGGGCTCCACCAGGATTATTGGTTAGTTGGGCTTCTGCTCAGCGTTATTTTAGACCCAGCGTGGGGTTGCTACTGAGCCCTGGGTGATTAACGACGGCATTAATCATCCTACCGGTTCTTGCCTGCCATATTTCAATTAAATGGTAAACTTGTGCTGGAGATCAGTCATTAACTTTCCAGGCGTGAGAAATGGCTCTTCGGGGCCCCGTTCGGAACATCCCGTCACAGCTGCATATTGAAAATACAATATTTTGTCCCTCCCTGGACAAAATATTGCAAAGGAGGTTCACCCTCCCCAGGGCTGTTCCAGAAGATGGTTTCTCCCCCTCCTCTGAAAGAGCTATTTGCCATTCAAGATAAGAATTAAAGCGGTAATAGTTTGTTTGAGATCACTGTTTCCCCAGCTTTAAGATGGGTGGACTTCAAATGGTGGTGCTGGGGAAGGCTCTCGGGAGAGAATAGAAAAGAATAGGAATTGGAATACAATTAGAATTACAATAGAATTTGAATTACAATAGAATAGTATTGGAAGGGAAGGGAAGGGAAGGGAAGGGAAGAGAAGGGAAGGGAAGGGAAGGGAAGGGAAGGGAAGGGAAGGGAAGGGAAGGGAAGGGAAGGGAAGAGAAGAGAAGAGAAGAGAAGAGAAGAGAAGAGAAGAGAAGAGAATGGAGAATGGAGAATGGAGGGGAAGGGAAGGGAAGGGAAGGGAAGGGAAGAGAAGAGAAGAGAAGAGAAGGGAAGAGAAGGGAAGGGAAGGGAAGGGAAGGGAAGGGGAGGGAAGGGAAGGGAAGGGAAGGGAATGGGGAAGGGAAGGGAAGAGAAGAGAAGAGAAGAGAGAGAAGAGAAGAGAAGAGAAGAGAAGAGAAGAGAAGAGAAGAGAAGAGAAGAGAAGAGAAGAGAAGAGAAGAGAAGAGAAGAGAAGAGAAGAGAATGTTGGAAGGGACCTTGTAGGTCATCTAGTCCAACCCCCCCCCCTCAAGCAGGAGACCCTACACCATTTCTGACAGATGGCTAGGAACTTCCGAGAAAACAAGCAAGCTCAGAGAGCACCAAGGAGCCCTCGTTTCAACCCTGAGCTACAAAAA